GTTGGKCCACAGTTGTAGAAGTTGTGGTCGTGGTAGTCGTAGTAGTTGGATCAGAGGTGGTCGAAGTGGTAGTAACAGGAGTATCAGGGATACAAGCTGGTTCCTTGGAGAAATCCAAACCAGTTGGGATGGAGAATGGAACGACACCACTGGTGGACTTACCCAGGACACATTGGGCAATAGGTGGTCCCAAAGGAGAGGAATCACCTGAGTCACGTATGGCATGGATGGCAATTGCACGACCAATCAAGTTTGGATTGTTGTTGAAGTTTGGCAAGTCTTTGGTGGACCAGAGGTAGTAGCCGACACCATTCTTGTAGACACAAATGTTTCCAAGATCACCATATTCACGGTTGGCCGCGGGTGGCAAAGCATGAACCTGGTTGGCAGTCTTCCAATGTCCTCCAATAGAGGAACCATTCATCCATTGGATATCTCCATAGTTGTGGATATGGATACCATGGGCCACGGTGGTGTCAAGTCCTGTGACTGAAGCAGCAAAGACTGTTGTACCATTGTTGTAGACAGTAACATGGACAAAACCTCCAACCTGGTTGTTCTCAACAACATTAGTGGGCTGGAGAACACAAACAGCCTTAGAGAGAGATGTAACTTGGAGGTAGGCTGAATTGTCCACGGGGGCAAGCTGACCGGCAATGGAAAAGGTGGTTGGGTTTCCAATTCCTATTACACATTGGGCATGACTATTTGGAAATATAGGAAAGCAATCTGGTTAGAAGTTGGTAGTTTGATTTAAAAATATGGTACATACACTTTGGCAGAAGCTTTACACTTAGTAGTAGAAGAATCAATAATTGAAATTGATCTTCCAATTATAGACTGCGCAGAGGTGAGAGAGTAGTCGTTAGAAACAGTGAGGCCATCCCATACACCTTGGCTATTCGCCTTGGTGACAGATCCTAGTAATCCTTTTGGACAATTGTCAAAGCTGAAACCAGATTCTCCGGATGAGGTAGTGGTACTAATATCACCAGTCGATCTAATAACCAATCGATAAGTTGCGCCAGCAGGGATATTGTTGATATTGTATCCAACAACCCATTTGTTGTTCTAGTAACGAGGTTAAAGAAAATAGAATAATATTGTATTAATAATAATAATAATATTGATTTATTTATATTATTATGTTAACTTACGTAGGTGATTTGGAGAGATCCAGTTATTCCCAATGGTGAATTGGAAGAAAAAGAACATGATCCATAGGTATCGGCATAGACCAACGAGGATGCAATGCAAAGTAGAAGAATAAATTTAGGGATATGTTTCATGATTGATGGATAAAAGTTATTAGTTTGTTCTAATAGTGAATGAACGAATAAATGTAAGAATGAATGAATCGTTCTTGGTTCCCTGATAGTATTTTGAGCATGATGACAAGATCCTTATGGTACAACAAAGAAACTATTAGAGATTGATCAAATACTATCAGGGAACTTTGTTGCCCTCATTTCATGTACATGTCAATTGTTATCCATGCGAGTGGAGTTGCAAACGAGAATCCTTATTTTGAACGTAAAGACAATGTTCCCTGATTAGGTATTTTCAGCATGATGGCCTGGCCCTTAGCCCACTCTTTGTCCTTTTGTAATAACACAATCCCTGATCAATAACTGGGCCTAATACCTTCCCCAATTTGGGACTTGTCCTTTCACAAAACTGCGACATTTGACTTGATCAAAAAGAGATATTTCAGTCTCCTCTGGTGGTCGTGCTAACAAAAACACATCTTTTTGGGAATCTAGAAAAAAATGGGTCATCATCTTTGCCAGCGAGTCTGCACTCCAGCGAGAACCTCCACTTGCACTACCCTCCACCTCCACAAAAGCCTCCAACCAACCCAGTTTTGCCAATGGAAGTCGGGGAGGTATTTGTTCCTAATCAGGAAGGTGACCACGGTCAGTGCTTGTCGTCCGTCCAGTGGGTGACGGTGACGAAAGAAGAACTTTAAATCGAAAGTTTGAGAGAGAGAGAGTGAGTGAGAGAGACAGTCATTGAGATGATACAGTAACTCACAACTACACCAATGGCAATTGATAGATTATCATAAGTAAGTAGTGCACAAATAATAATAATAAGTTATTGTATTGTTTTACAACAGCGAGGGATGCTCGCCTCATTCAGGATCGGTCCTTAAAGGAGCAGCATGGCAATGAGGGCAATGACAATGGTGAAAGCTGGAGCAACGATCGAGGAGCTGTTTGGACCGGTAGTGGTGGTGGTGGTTGGGCGGCTGGTAGTGGTCGAGGTAGTGGTAGAGGCAGCAGTAGTGCCAGTGGTGGTGCCAGTGGTGCCAGTGGTACCAGTAGTGGAGGTAGTACCGGTGGTGGTGGTGGTGGTTGTGCCAGCTGGAGTGCAGACTGGCTCGGTGGCGAAGCTGATATCCTTTGGAAGGGCCTTGGGAATTGCGTTGGTGGTGATACCAATCACACCCTGGGCAAGACGTGGTCCCAATGCGGTGGCATTGCCAGAGTCACGGATGCCATGGACGACGATGGAACGACCAATGAAGTTGACCTCAGAGCCGGGGGTGCCAGAGTAACTGGTGGTGTACTGGTAGTAAGCAACGTTGTTGACGTTGTCAAAGACACAGATGTTGCCCAGATCACCGAGCTCACGGTTAGATGCGGGTGGCAGACCGTGGGTCTGGTTGAGAGCGGCATTCTTCCAGTGACCTCCTACAGAGGTTCCGTTTCTCCACATCAAATCACCAAAGGCGTGGATGTGCACTCCGTGGGCGGTGGTGTTGTCCAATCCGGTGATGGCGGCAGAGAAGGTGACATTGGTGGTGATACCATCAGTGTTGACCTGGAAGTACATGAAACCAGAGACGGGGACGGCGGAGACGGCAGTGGTTGGGTAGAGAACAGCAACGGCAGCATTGGTCATTGAGCTCTTGAATGAGGCAAGGTTGGCACCGGTGGTGTTCATCTTTGGAATCAAAGTGGTGATTGGGTTAGCAATACCAATGACACAGTGGGCAACAATGTTGGCCTGTGGATCACAAGCGTGCGAGTCGAGGATGGTGAGGGCTCTTCCAACAAAGGAGTTTGGACCGTTGTGGACGATGTACTGGCTGGCATTGACAACAGCGTAGAAACCAAGTGAAGCAAGATCACTGGTGAGGTTGGTGATTTGACCGCCTGGACAGGAATCAACCATGGCGCCAACAATACCACCAGCGGAGGAGGAAGTAGTGATATCACCCAACTCGCGGAGAACGACTCCATAAGATGCCTTGCTTGGGATGTTGTAGATGGTGTAACCAAAGGTGTATGTCTGGTCCTCTGGCTATTTAAGTTTTTATTTTGGATGTAGGGAATGAATGTAAGTATCAAGTGGTTTGGGATTTGTTGTTCTCTGGTAAAACAGTGTAAATGATGCATGCATACAGTGTAAGCGATTTGGAAACCTCCAGTAATGTTGGCAGGAGTGGTTGGTACCATCATACAGTTGGCATAGACGTAGTCGGCCGAAACTGAAGAGATGGCCACTGACAGAAGCACAAGGATTGCGATGAATTGCTTCATTTTATGTGTGTATTTGTTGTAGTAGTAGTAATTGTTTGATTAATTACAATTTGTTGAATGATTTATAAGCATTGGAACATGTTCCCCCTTCCACAACACCTGTATGTTGCGCCCTCTCCAATCTGTTGGTCCTTTGACCATCCATGTCCAGAATCAACAGCTACAACACCAATCAACACCTTCAGCCCTTGTCACGATTTCATTTTTGTGTTTTTGGTGATCTAACCATTCAAATAATAACGTCACCACACGTGAGGTGATCTTTGCTTGATGACGATGATGACATCGAGTTCGACCTATTCATTAATCGATTCCATGAACGTTTGAGATATTTCTGTTTAAATGGGTATGGCCCATCATTTGGAAATCAGTCTTTTTGTCTGTCTGCAAGCCCATTAAGATACAATGATGTAATTAAATAATAATAATAATAATGAAGGATTGCGGATGTAACCATGTTTGATAGAGACAGAAAGCTATTTATAAATCACATGTGATGATGAGTTGTTTGGAAAGTATAACCCAACCATTATTAATCTGACTGCTTACTGATTGGTGTCAGCCTCGCTGTTTTGGCTTATTAGTCCACGTCAGCTATTTCCTATCATCATAAAGATAGGATAATGGACGATGATTTACAACTTATTTCCAACGATAGAAGAGAGGTTTGAGTTTGAAATGAATCCAAAAAGTCCAACAACAAAGCATCATTAATGAAAGATAAAGAGTTTGCTCTAGCAAAGAGTTATTAATTGTTGTTTATCTCTGTCAACAAAATGGAATGAAATATTTAGATATCTATTTAAATTCTTGCCTATTCTTCTGTGTGATCTTATTAAAATGTAGCTAACTACCTCTTTGTGTTATCATCATCAATGATGATGAAGACACAAAGTACTTAAACAAAACCCCAATCAATTTTGTGTTTGGTCTTTAGACCTCACATAGGGTGTATCCTATTTGGCTTGCCTCTTCCAATCAAGTTACATCAATTCCAAATTCCATCACACACACACATAGAGAGATAGACTTCAATTCACCAATCATGAGTGCAACCAACACACAAATTGCCAGCAGAGACACACAAAAGGTTATCACGTCCAAAGTGTGTGTGCAAACAAATTGACATCGATGGGCTGATGAAGACCCCAATCAAATGAAAGCACGATAGATGATCATATGAAGACTTTACAGTGTCAGTTCAGTTTCAGAGAAGCGTCACCATCGATGATAGACATCACCATCAAACTCGTTGATCAACCTATAACCAGTACTTTAATTTATATCAGAAATCACTGGAATGTAAATCAACTATTTAATAACACCTGGTTGGGATTGGATTGTAATTATATCATTCAAAACTAAACCTAGTTAATATACATAATAATAATATTATCCAGCTTAATAATTACTATATACACAATGCAAGCCACACATGATAACCTTTTCGATCATCCAAACTTCCACCTTTATGGTTGGATGTGGTCTCACTGCACTTTGAGAAGACTATACTCATTGCTCTCTGCCAAGATGTTGGTATGGAAGCCAGCTGACAAGGATGAGATTGAGGATATGGTCAAGGCCTTTGAGTCTGTAGGAAACTATGCTCTGGCCCACAACAAGTTGGAGGAGGACACTGCCTTCCCATTCATTGCCGAGCAGGACCCCAAATTCAAGGAGGCTATCAAGGCCATTGAGGCCGATCACAAGAAGTTCACCCAGGACTGGAATGCCATCCAACCACAGGTGCAAGCCATCGCCAAGTTGACCCCAGGCACTGGCCAGGACCAGATTGCCGCGCTCGCCGCCAAGGTCAAGGAGATCACCGAGTTTGTCTTCAAGCTGTTTGCCGAGGAGGAGAAGATCTGTCTGCCATTCATGGTCAACATCCCCAAGGACAAGCAACAGAAGCTTGGCAAGACCATTGAGGAGCTCTCCAGAAAGGATGAGAACTCAAAGTTCTTCTTCTGTGCCATGATGGATGCCTCCAAGCATGACAAGGAGATGGCCGAGACCTTCAAGAAGGAGACACCATGGTTTGCCAGAACAATGTTCTCTGCCATCTTCCTAAAGAAGGAGTATGGTTGGTTCCAAAAGGTTGTCGAGATCTAAACATCGAGATCAACAAATTGATACATACATACATACATACTCTATCTCTATTAATATTGTTAAATAAATGATTATACATTTATATATAATTAATAATACAAGTGTATTGATTGATTGGGTGTGTGGATATATACAATTGATAGCGATGGTTGTTGTTGTTGTTGTGGTGGCTGTTGCCAATTAACTAACTGACCAACTAGTGAAAGATTGAGAAGCTTGGTTGAAATTCAGATGACTCGGGATGGTCCCGACCTCCTGTCGAGACTGATGGTAATCGATGTGCTGGTGATGCTGTGTGATGTGGACTCTGTCCATCCTCTGTCTTGACTGACTTGCTTGGACGACTTCGCTTCTTGTTCTGGTCTTCATCATTTGATGACGATGATGATGATGATGTTGCTGTTGTTGAGCTGGGTACCAGTGCCACTGCTGTGGTTTCCTCCTTGACCTCTGGTGATGACTCGCTCTGGTCGGGTCTCTTGGGACGCCCACGCTTCTTGCCATTTGGATTGGCAGATGACGCTAGACGTTGTAGACGATTGCCATCCTTGTCCAACTTTGGTGGACGTCCACGCTTCCTCTTGGGAACACTTGGATCCCTGGGTGGAGGTGGTGGATTCTTCCTTGGTCGTCCACGACCCCTCTTCTCTGGTGTACCAGGTGAGTATAACAATGATGAACCGATGCCATTGTGGATCAGTGATGGTACAATTCCTGGTATTTTCATTGATGATGGTTGTGATGTAACAGTTGGTGAACCAGTGGTGGTTATGGCTGATATTGTTGATAATGTTGTTGTCGTTGTTGTCGCTGGTGATGATGAAAAAGTAGGTGAATGTGTCATCACCATATTATTGATTGATGCTACCGTTGTTGTAGTTGTTGTCGATGATGATGATGATGATGTTCCAGTCTCAGACTTTGTCGAGGTAAGTGTTGGTGAGGACTGTGTGACCAACATTGATGTTGTTGAAATTCCCATTGGCAGTGATGGAGGTGCAGTGCTAGATAATTAATATAGTTAATAAATTGTTGTTGTCTTAAATATCCAATGGATGATGCCTACGCAAATTGTGACTTGCTCTCTAATACAGGTGACGATGGATTGGATAATACTGTTCTATTGTCCATTAACCTAAATAATTCAAACCTTTTTGTTGGTGTGTCTATTGTGATTGATTGATAAATGGAAATATGATATAGTTTGTTAGTTAATAAGTTTGATCGAGATTGGACGTCTCTCATTCCACCCAAAATGAAAATGGGTGGTCCACATCACATGACCGACAATGAGTCAGTCATTCCGTTGTTCTCATTGTCCACTCACCTCAATCAATCAATCACCTATATTATTACAACTACTACTACACTAGAGAGGTTGATATATTAATGTTGTTATTGCTTGATACAGTATCTAGTAGTTCTTCTTGTTGTTGTTTGCTGTTGTTGTTGCTAATACAAATAAAGGTGTAGCAATATCCAATTTGGTGGGTGTGGTGAATCAATTCAAACAGTGTTGTTTATTTAATTTAATTTTGAATAATTATTGGTGGGGTTGGAAGTTATAACGGATGTATATGAACTTCGTTTATATCAACAAACCACGACCAATCAAACAATTAATTATGACAACAAACAGATAGAGTGTTGTATTGGTGTTACCAAATATGCAGACATTTTAGGGATGTTTATTATGAGGAAGAGTAGTAGGGGGGGAGATTACTCATTGATGGCGAGGGTACCATCTTGGATCTGTTGCTGGATATCTCTTGGGCTCTTTCCGTTGACCTTGCAGCCGATGGAGTTGGCAGTTCCGAGGATCTCGAGAACGGTGCCCTTGAAGTCGATGGCCATGGACTTGGGTCTCATGGTCTTGGCAATCTTGATGATCTCCTCGAGGGGGACGCTGCCATGATGCTTGATGTTCTTCTCCTTCTTTCTGTCTCTGGGTGGCTCCTTGAGGGCCTTGATCACGAGGGCAGAGGTGGTTGGGAGAACCTCAGCGACGGCAACACGGTTCTGAATGGTCAGCTTAACCTGGACCTTCATTCCCTTCCATGGCATGGTGGCCTTGGCGATATCATCACCGACCTTCTTTGGGGAGATACCAAGGGGACCCATCTTTGGGGCCAAAGTGGACATAGCTCCAGTCTCACCTCCAGCAACACGGAGGTAAACTAATTAGAGTGATACCAGATATTAATATCTGGGTGGTTGGGTCTCAACCAACATTGATGAGGATACCTGTTTGATAATCATTGTTGATGTTGTTTTTGCAGAACGTCTGTCATCATCTTAGTCATAATCTGTGTTGTTAAACAAAATGCATTGTCTACCCCCTCGCCGGGTAGACCTCTCTCAACTCTAATTGTTCTCCACTCGAACCCACTAGGTCCAACCGCTACGTCATCTCTGTGTCTCCCTTACAACAGATGCTAGTGTGTTGTAAATGCAACAGATGCTGACCAGACGACCTGGACTATGTAGTGCTATCAATCGCAAGTAGTTCTTCGTCGAATATATTGTTTTAATGCTTACCTTCAACTTTCTCAGATGGATCGATCTTGGGAGGCATTCTGGATTACTGTGTAGTCGTCATTGTTGATTGTTGATGGATGAGATGAATGTAAGTTCAACTGCTGTCATTGATTGATCGCGTGAGTCTAAATCCAACATAATACATACACTCACTAAAAGATGTCTTTGTGCAACGATTATGGAGACTATGAAACTGTCTTGTGCAATTGAAAAGCAGGCTGGGTGAGCGAATCGAACGTGGGCGAGTCGAGCACACATTGGAAGAGTGAGTAAGTTTTAAAAAAAATCAAAATAAATCATAATAATGTAAAAATTCGACACTACTGTGTAAATGTTCTACATAGTTGTGTAATTTTATGACACGCTTGTTTCCTCGAGGAGTTGTTCCAACTTGGATGAAGTGTTCCAGGTTGCCAGTGGACCAGCTTTAAAAGTCCTTCTTGTCTCTGTGAAGTGTAAAGTATAGACCATCAAACTCCAGGAACGTCAATGTATCATAGCCAACGTTGGTAAACGCCAACAGCCATTCGAATATCGAGTACTTGCTATATGCTGTTGTTGTTGTTGTTGTTTGAAGTCAGTCAGTCAGTCAGTTAGTCAACGAATGGCGATTATAACTTACACAAGTAGACACAGTAGAATGTATGATCAACAAAGTACTTGAGGGAGCCAACAAAGAGGAGGAAATGAGTGATACCAAGGATGACCTTCCACTTCCATGAGAAAATGTCCTTTTGGGTCTTGGAGCTGTAGCTGGTGAGGAGCAAGCTGCTCAGACTACGGTTGCCTTGAGCGTTGTACTTGAACTTGATGCGTGTGTGGTAGAGCACGGCACTGTGTGTGTACATAAAGGCGAACGAGAAGATGACGTAGCTGACAAAGCCGATCTGATGGGCAAAGAGGTGCTCCGACGACGAGATGTAGATCCAACCTCCAGCGGCAAAGACGCGCAGCACATCGAGCACGGTGGACACTGGGATGAGCCAGTCAAGCTTGCGTACAGACTCGTGCACAGATGGTCCAAAGTGACTGGACTGCAAGAGCAGAGTCTGACGGTCCTCGTGTGCCAGGTAGTGGTTGAGGTAGATGGTGCCGAGACGCAGGCCACTTGTCAGGGCCATTCCGTAGCGGTATATGTTCATCTCTGGTGAGAAGTCACCAATGGTCGATGAGATTGATGGCAGGAACTCGTACAGTCCACAATGTGTTCTGGTCACACGGGCAAAGTGCAGGTAGTAGGCAAAGATCAATGTCAATATGAATGATGACATTGTAATGATGCCATATGCCAATGGCAACAGGCTAGCTTGTAACTTGAACATTGTTGGTTGTTGTCTGTATGTCTCTGCTGCTATAAAGCTGAAATGTATACTAATAGTACAGATAATAAAGTAAAGTGTGAATGAATGAACACGTGTTCAATGGCAAACCAATAAAGGATCTGGGTCCTCAGGTGGTGTCGTTTTTCCTTTTTGTCACCCCCTCGAGTGGCGGGTGCGTCAGCGCTGACCAACCCGGGTTTATTCATCGTGTCCATGTGAGTGCTTTGATCGGGCATTGTCCTGGATGGAGAATGATGGCTTCTGGATATTCCATTGCTCATAGAGAAGCTGATCTTCCAACTTGTCCAATACGATCATGAGCGTCGATGAGGACGTATCACACAACACATCGGCCAACTGAATGGACTGTTGTTTCTCTGATTCGGTGAGCTCCAATGAATTGAGCGTAAAGTCAATCTCGTTCATGCCCAGTGGATCCTGTCGAGAGTACATCAATTCGCCCAGCAGACGCGGTGTGTTGCTGTCGTACCACTGCTCATAGTTGCGTTGGTGGTATTCTTCGATCCTGTCAGTGATGGCCTGTTCCATCTCGCTGGCCTCTTGTGGGGTCAACTCATTCTGCTGTGAAAGCCAAACATCATTGATGTGGATAGGAACATGGAGGAATATATCTGTGATCACTTTCATATTGTCTAATGGATAATTGGTTAGTTAGTGTGTTTACATCCCCTTTTGGATTATTGATTGATCGATTGATAGACATACTCTGTCTCCACTTCTTGGTGAGATATGGAAGAAGGCTCTTGATGATCTTTAGACTGTACTTTCTAATTGTGGGCTGCTCAATAACAGAATACTTTTTCAATATGTTCTGTCATTGGTTGATGGCGAGTGGATAGGAGGTTAGGTCAGGTCTTATTTTAAAGATGAGCAAACATACAACTGCTTTGGAGGGTGGAATCACGGTGAACCTAGATGGATGATACTTGGATACCTTTTGGATTATCCTAAGTAGACATGCAGTACTAAACAAATTCCTCCAACATTCTAAGTAGTAATTATTATTAGTTGGTTAGTGTACGTGACAGGTTGGGGCATGATTAATAATAGGTTACCTGTTGATGTAGAGGTCTCTTGGTCCACAGGATAGAATTCCTCTTTGGGAATAATATTCTGTGCCTTGATGAACTTCTCGATGGACTCTTGTACAAGGTACTTATACGCCAGCACCAATCCATTCGAGTCGAATATTATCTGTGTCAGATTCTCAAACTGAAGTACCTCTGTTGTGTGGTGGATAGTTGGTAAGTGCACCAATCAATGTAAGGGATGACTCACGACTGCATACGGTTATACTTTGCATGTTTGAGTAGTAGCAGCAGGATGGCCAACAAGGCTTTGGATATAATCTCTTTGTGTCTGAGAAAGTCAACGGCTGATTGCATTGTCTCTACAAGACTGGCAGAGTGACCTGGTGATGGAGAGTCTGTAGTGTGTTCCCATGTTAGGTCTACTGGATGTACGTCTCTCACCTATCAGACAGACTGACTACTTACCAATAGTGATTTCAGACTTTAGATTAATTGGACCAGTGTAGCTCTTCACACCTGGTACTGCGGCCAGCAGTATCTTTAAAAGTACAATGAATGTTTTGGATAGGGTGGATAGGTTGGAGGAGTAGAACTGCTCGAATGGTGAGCAGGTGTCTAGGAATATACGTGGTGTTGGCTCTGTGTTTGTGGCGTCCCTGTTGGAAGGAGTGGACACTCCGATGTCTTTGTACAATTGTCGTGGCGGGTACATGTTCTTCTCGAGCACTCTCAGTGAATCGCCCAGCGCAGAGGGCAGTCGAAGAATATCAAACTTTCGATTGGATAGTGCTGGTATTGGGTTTGGTGATATCGATGAGGCACTGTTTGTATGTGCAAGATGTGAGGTCACTTGATGGAGGCTAGAGTGTCGCACCTGGTGATGGAATCGACTTGTGCCTTTGATAAAGTTATACACGTCATATGGAGATGTTTTTGGTGTGTCTATGATGATGTAGGTCAGCATGGAGGTGGACAATGGCCACAATCAACCAATTATGTATACCTTTGTCAAAGTGGCAAGAGTTTAGTCTATTCTCTTTGAGTTGTTCCAGTTGTGAGAAGCTTCCAAAGTGTGCAGTCATAGTCTTCCACAACACCAAGATGATCTTCTTTACAGGGTATCGATTGCCTTCAATATCGCTAAACTCTGTCACTAGACGGATCATGGTCTCGATCACATCCTGACCTTGTCCACCTTGAAGTAATGGGTCACCCTGATTGACCATCACTATATGATAGATGATATTGAGTATCGTACACATCAGGTGGTCTGCCTTCTTTGAGTTGACATTTGGTGTGCGGGCCTTTGCCTCTTGTTGTCTAATGTGATGGTGTACCTGTTGCTGCAACTGATCTGTTGTCTCTGTTGGTGGTGGGATCGTTGCATTGGAGATACTGATAGTGTTGTAGTGTATGTGTTAGAGTCTGTGTCAATGATGGAGAAGAGTGATCCTGTGTGTATATTCATACTTTGAGGCCATGAGCAAGACCTGTAGTAGCAATGGCAAACAGTTGGACTTGAGTAGCAGCTGACAGTTGTAAGTCATTGTTTTCTCTGGGTGTGAATCATCACTGCCCTGTGCCACATATAGGATGATGCTAGCCTTGTTCAAGAATCGTTGATAGTGTTCTACACTGCCGTTTGGCGAGAGGTCCAGATAGGAGAGTGTTGACTCAATGAACTCAATGTGTTCTTCTGTCGTAAGTTCAGTCCATCTCTTAATGCCACCTGTACCTGTTGTAGAGTGGGCCGCGCGATGGTCAGTGATGAGTACATCACTGGACACCTGTAAGATTACAAACATACATTTGTTCAAGTCCTCTGTGAATAATGTTGATATCTCTGTCTTTCGAAGTGACGACAACTCGACATAGGAGTACAGTTCGTTTAGCTCATTACAAAAGGTATCACTGTCGGCAAACACAAACGATAGACCTGTTGGCTGTGTAGTCTGGGTTGGGCAGTGTGGTGGAGAGTGATAGGTCAGTCAGTGTTGGTTGATTCAAAGAGAGATGGTTTTGGAGGTGTCGCTGACCTACCTCAGCTTCATCAAGTGTTTGACCTACTGATGCAGCTGATTGATCACTTTGGTCCAAACTCATTTGTTATGTATATATGTTAGATTGTATGTATGTATGAATGATGTTCATTCAGATTGTTTATTGTGAATCACAAAAGAGATTGGCTCCCTTTGATGATTGATTTTTGTTTACAATCCAATGGCCCCATTCTGGTGATGACATTGGCACAAAGATGGAAATGGATACTATAACTTAGTATGACTTGGAGAAGACTGAAGTGGACAGTCCAGTCTTGCCAGTGATGTTCCTGCAGGTGTATGCGAGACCGATGTTTCTGGTGACACAGTTCTTGCCGCCACTCTTTTGGCATTCGAGCAGGTTGGTGAGGAACTGGCTGTAGCAAATCTCACTCTTGAGCTGCTTGATGGACAGCTCCTTGATCCTCTTACACTCGGCCTCGTCCTGTCCTGATGGACACTTGATCAACTGCATGCATGGTGCAAGTAAGCCCAGAGACTTGTCGTCGTCCAGGAGTGCTCTGGTCTGAGTGATGACACGCTCAGTGAGACCAATCTCCTTCTTCTCCTTCTTCTTCTCCTCCTTCTCCTGCTTCTTCTTGTCCTTCTTGTCATCCTTGTCCTTGTTCTTCTTTCCCTTCTTCTCCTCCTTATCTTGTTTCTTCAGAGCCTTTTTCTCATCCTTTGCCTTCTCCTTATCACTCTTCTCCTTCTTCTCTTTCTTCTCCTTCTTGTCTCCCTTGTCCTTCTTATCCTTCTTGTCCTTCTTATCACCCTTGTCCTTCTTATCTTTCTTATCCTTCTTATCTCCCTTGTCCTTCTTGTCTTTCTTATCACCCTTGTCCTTTTTCTTATCCTTCTTATCCTTCTTGTCACCCTTATCCTTCTTCTTGTCCTTCTTGGAGTCGGTAACACCAAACTCGGCTAGTTCACCTTTGAGTTGCTTGGCAGACAGCTGAGCTGGCTCGAATGAACCAATCGATGAGAAGGTGACCATCATCTTGGCAAACATGGCACATTGTCCCAGTACTCCATCCTTCAACAATGATGACTGGCCAATGAACTTTTGCAACAAAGACCTATCATAGTCAGCATTTGGAGCGATGGCAGCAGGTGTAGTAGTCTCTGCACTCTGTGGTGCTGATGGTTTGGAAGCAGTAGTTGACATATTAATGTTTGATTAATGATAAAGACGATAATAATAGAGAAATATAGATATTATATGTATAGTGAATGAGATAGATTAATATGTTGGGAATGTTGAATGATGAACAATCAAGTAATAGACTTGTCTTTAGTAGATGGGGTGTTGTTGTTCAATGCTGTTGCTGTTCACTGAACCCCACAATGGAATAAATTGATAATAATTAACTTGCCCAATCCTTCAATCGCAACTTTTGATCTTGACCAACTATGGGCAACTTGCCAAGTTAGTCTTCATAGAACATCGGATTAATAACATGAGAGGCATCCTCTTCAGTACTAGACATATATGTTTGGAAATAGTAAGTTTGCTTGTATGTGTACACTCTAGGATAGGTAAACAACAACAAATTGTTGGTACATACCTTTGATGAACACTCAGTCCAACTCTTGGAAGAAGAAACTCAAGATTCAGCTCTATCATTGCTCGATGGATATCTTCAACTGTCATCACATTCGATGTCTTGTCTTTGTTTGATGATGACGATGATGTAGAGTGTTCCATTACCACTCTTAAGAACTCTTGAAGAACTACATCCAATGTGTCCACACTATTATTGGATTGGTTAATATAGAGACAAGGTTGCTGAGCCATCTACAAAACATACCTTCTCTTTTGAAGTTGTATTCTCTGTTTGAATATCTTTGCTGTATCTCTCATTACTTTATGCAACATTCTTGTGTCGAGCAATGGTTGTGTGGATGTCTCACCAACCTTGTCTCTATTCTCTTCTTCTACCTCCTCTTCAGACCACACATCATCATTGTCATCTTGTTGATCATCCCTTGCACTCCTTCTCCTTGATCCTGTTGTAGTTGATGTAGACATATCATATACAGTTACAACTTATCATTATTTATTTGTATTTGTTGTTGTGTTTAGATAATACTGAGTTATGAATATATACAAATGAAGTAGAAGAGTACACAACATTCTGAGATTGATATTATCAAATCAATGATTTGTTATCTCTCTCTAGATACCCATTGGTCCTCCGAGCCTTTCCTTTAGATGATCGATCTCACTTCTCTGGTCAGAGATGATGTGCTTGACAAGATCACCAATGGATACGATTCCAATTAGTGAGTTGTCCTCGATCACTGGCAAATGACGGAATCCTCTTTTGATCATTATTGACATGCACTTGGCAGTGGAAGTATCACTACTGACAGTGGCCACGTGTGGAGACATGACATCTTTGACCAAGGTGGTCCTGCTAGAGAGATCTCTCAGAATGATCTTCTTCATGTAGTCACGCTCCGAGAATATTCCAGACATCCTATTCTCATTGTCGATTACAATGACGGCACCAACTCTATGTTTGTGCATAGTCTGAATTGCCCTGAATACGGTCTCATCCTCTCTGATCTTGACAATATTTTGCCACCCAGCAGCTTTCTCTGTTAACAACTGGCTAACCTTGGTATCTATGAATCCTCCAGTATGTCGTTTCTCCTTCTTCTCTGGTGTCAATTGTCCGAAAGAAAGGATTTCAACAGTACTAGTGATACCAATGTATCTTTTCGTTGGTAAATTCTTGTTGCTATCACTCTGTACCTAAATATTGGATGTTGTCATTGTTAACTAAAAGAACTAACATTATCCATGATTGTATTTGTATACATACGAACAAAGGAGTGTTTGACCTATTTACATATGGAACAACCAATCTATTGATATTCCTTAGTTTAGATATAGTAGCTATTGATTTCATTCTATACCAATTAATTAGTATTATTAATCTTTGTAGTTTCAAAGGATAATGATGAGTGATAGGAATGGAGGATATATATTGTTGGTGGTGGTGTTTGTTGTTGTTGGAATACGAGAGTGTATGAGGGGTATGTTGTTGAACATCACCAAATATGGTTATAATTAAAATTAATTAAAATTAGGGGGATCGATGGTAAATTTCAATTACCCGCTGACCTTATTATTATTCTACTCCAGAATCATAATTATTGGTATATATATAATATAATATAATAATAAACGAAATAGTAATATTTATTAATAAATATATGGATGGATACACACACGCACACATTAGAGATAGATTGGACTTTGAGTCCATGTTGGTTGATATGGTATGGTATGGTATGATGACGATGTGTGGTGAAGAGTTGCCATCCACAACTCATACCTTGGTGTGTGCATTTGATATGTTTGTCTCATAGAGAGGACAGTACTACATAGCTTGTCCGCGGACATCTACCGATATAATATATGAAGGGTATTTGATGATGGCGGTCACATGGAATATAGTGGGTTGGTTGGTTGGTTGGTTGGTTGATTGATTGATTGGTGATAGTGTGCGTGTGTGTGCTTAGGCATAGAGTCCTGCTCGCATGATGCACTGAGTGAAGATGATGTCCTTGACAGCCTGGAAGACCACACGAATGTTGTCAGTGTCTGTGGCACATGTGACATGCGAGTAGATGTTCTTGGCCTCATTCTTGTTGATCTGAAGGAAACGCTCACGAATGTAGTTGGCGGCACGTTCAAAGTCCTTGCCTCCCTTGTACTCGGGGAATGTCTCGGACAGATCCACCGTCTTGAGCTTGGCATGGAACAGATCCGACTTGTTGAGGAACAGGATGATTGGCGTGTTGATGAACCACATGTTGCACACGTCGCCAAACACACGCAGTGACTCGTTCATACGGTTGGTGGCATTATCCTCGTAGAGCAGCTGATCGTATTCGCTCAGTGCCACACAGAACACGACGGCAGTCACGTCGTCAAAGCATGACAGCCACTTCTTTCTCTCACTTCGCTGGCCTCCAACGTCGACCATTCTGAACCTGATCCTTCCAACCTCAAAGTCAATCTCATGTACACCTCTTGTCATCACTCGAGTGTGCAAGATGTCCTGATCCGTAGGTAGGTATACGCTGGATGTCATTCTATCTATATTCTCAAAGAAGCTAATGGTGAAAGAGAGAAAGAAAAGAGTGGATATGGTCAATGTCAGTAACAATCTCGAGTCTAAAATGAGTTGATTGATACATACTATGGTGCAGAGTCTGGAAGAGTACTGAACTCTGATACTCTCTTCATGGCCTGTTTGATACCGGCATCCTCCCAGAGAGCCTTTACCTTTTTGCCCTTGTCCTCGTCCAATTCGGTCCAGTTGGAGTCGGCGACGGCAGAGTGCAGGGAGGTGTAATCGCGGATCATGGCAACGGCCTCTTGGTTGGCAGGGTCGACATTCAGTCCAATCCTGCTCATGCCATCCAGAAGAATGCGCATGTTGTCCAAGATGTTCCTGTATATGATGACCTTGAATTCCTTTCTCTCCTCATTGCTGTAACCACTCTTGTGTATGATCTTCATCTGTTTGGCGATGGTTGACTTTCCAGACTCGCCAGCACCCAACAGCAGCAGTTTGACTTCATTATATTTCTTCTTTCTCTCCTTCTCAATGGTCGAGTTGATCTCATGGTTGGACTTTGAGCTCTCGGTTTGCGCTGAACATATGTTGCCCATGACTTGTTATGTATGTATGTATTATATATATGATTATATAGATATTATATGATATGAATATGTGTTATATTTGTATAAGGTATGTAATAATACAAGGTTGGAATAAGTGTTCCAACTACTGATTGATTGAATGGTTGATTGATTGGATAAAGTTAGTATTTCGATTGATTGATTAAGGTGATGATGTCATAGTATAGATGATACAAGCAAATAACAAAGTATATATGTTGGACAATAGGTTAAATAGAGTGCAATAGTTAACTTTTGATCAAAGTGTTGACACTGTCAAATAGCTACCACTACGATCAATCAGGTGTCTCTCCCTCTGCAATGAGATGATGTAGCAACACATCGAATGATCATTGAGGTACGAGTCTCAGTCGACTATCACGCCCATACGAGAGACCCAAGCAAGAAAGGGGTAATCTGGAGAGTATCACGGTCGTCTGGAAACCCAGACAACACAATGATGGATGGGTGCAATGAATCACAAAGTGGCGAGTGGTACTGGTGATGGGTATGTGTGTGTGTGTGTCGGGTTGTGTGTGTGTGTTCCGACTATGTTGCAAAAATACCCATAAGCTGAAGCACTTGTGCTTGTGGAGGCCTTTTGGCCTATTGGGGGCGGTGAGTAAAGTGTAAAGGGGATCGTAATAACCTACAGTTGATATCTCTACACAACAGATGAGTGTTGTTGTTATCTAAATATAACTTGGATGTTCCTATTCGTCTAAAGGATTCAAAGTGACACATGTTGTTGAATGGATGGGAAGGAATGGATGGTTTGTTTTCACAAGATGACGAGTCGTCAATTAGTTGAATGAATTGCGTAGTGACCCTGGGATGTTCAATCACATACCTTTTGGTTTCTTTCTATGTTGTTGTTGATTGTAATATTGATGTTTGTTGTGGTTGTTGTTGTTGTACCAAAGACTGATTGTTGTAATGATATTAATTTAAGTAATAATAATAATAATAATATAAATTGTATGATATGTCTGGTCCCACTGGGAAGATAAAAGGTTTGAAGGTGAAGTAGCGGTCAGATGTTTTGATTGGATCACTCCTTATGGTGCGATGTAATATATTATTATGCAAAATATCTGTGGACAGATGCAGACAAGGCAAACGACGCTACAACCTAATTAATAAAGTATGTATACTAATACTGCAGGGACAACCACCGGAATGAATGATTGATTCAGTGAGTTGAGTGAGTGAGTGGCTGAGTAATATGATTGAATGATGATTGTTTGTTTGATTGATTGATTGCTTGATTGATTGATTGATTGATGTCTATCTATCTATCTATGTATCTAAAAGTTGATCTCTTACTGGATGGCTGGACAAATGGTTTGACCGACTGGGTTATTATGTGTGTGTGTGTGTGTTTGGATTGTGCTCGTAACAACATTTGATTGGTTGACAGGGACTAACTAGTTGGGGTTAGTCTCAACAACAACAACTCAATATCAATCTCGCACCCTCACTACAATCAATACTACTACTACTATTGAGTTGTGTATGAATTAATTCAGAGATGAGATGTAGTTTAGGTAGAGGACATCCAGCCAATCGTTGATTTTGTTTGAGATGAGTGTGGAGAAAGAGATAGGGATTGGGCTCATTGACCATCAGTCTAATTCAGCGGTTTGGACGTTCAAACGGTTCGGCATGGAGGTCACATCCCTTTCGCGAGGTATTCCGTGTCAAACTCTCGCAGCAAGTGATTCTCTCAATCGTTCGCAGAATCAATCTGATCAGGTGATTGGCCGTGATTGATACGGCCATTGTAGATAAAATTTTTACAGATTTGTCGTTTTGCTGAATGGGGTATCAAACCCCTGTGTGTGGACAGACGAACGAGTGCCGATTCCCTCTCATAGCCTATTGTTGGTCTCTAAAGGATTATTATCTGCGCGTGTATCATCAACATAAATAGACTCTTTTAAACAGGGTCTTATTGCAAGATAGAAGGTTCTCATTGTCATCTTCTTTGCAGCATTATGATGTGTGTGATCACTTGGTACCCAACCAGCAATGGTCATTGTTTGTTGTCAGTGGTGGTGTCTGGCTCATTGAGATAACGACGTCAACAACCGTCATACGGTTTGTCTAACAATCAATCTACTATCGATGGTTTTACGTGCATGTCCATTCCCAATGGACATACCAAACTTACATAGCAGTATGATAATTGAGATTGATCTCTTCTCAGTTTGGATGAATAAGGACAGATCCGCGACGAATCATCTTTAGTAAAGTTGACTGATCAGTCATTGGTCCACCTCAAATGATCATAGAGCTAGCCGTAGTGGCACGAGGTTTCCCTGGTGGGTGTACCATCTTGAACTTAATTGGGACACTTCCATCTTTCATACTTGAATGGCGGAATGACATTCACCAGTGTGCCGATCGCAGTGGCTGCTAACAAAGGTCCAACTATAAATATCCAAAAGTCTGGGGTGGATGGGTGATGCGCATCACCAGGCTGGTTAGATGTGTTGAGGTCGTCGTCTGAAGGACACCTACTTTCCCAATTTCCAGATACCACAGCAGGTCCAAAGCATCTGGCAATGTTGAAACCAGGTCCGGCGTAGAAGGACAACAGACCTTGAGAAGCAAACAAAGTGATGAACAGTGCAAATCCAATGATGAGTGGCGGGGCAAGTACACCAAAGGTCTTTACCTGTCGTGGATCCAATGCTACGTTAAATGCTATCAACAAATTGAAGAAACCAAATGCAAACTCTGCTGCCAGTGCATTGAGCTTAGTCATTTGGTTACCAAACTGGCAAGTTGCCATTAGTGTCCTGTTGTATACTTCGTGAGGCACTGATGCATATATAAGTGCGGATCCTATGATTGCACCTACTAGTTGTGCACAGATGTAAAGTATTCCCTTGGCAATCGTTGTGAATCCAGTAATCATGGTGGCAAATGTGATCACAGGGTTGAGGATGCCACCAGAGTTGGGACCACAGGCAATGATCATGATCACCAGTAGCAGACAGTGCAGTGCAGCAATGAAGAATGCCTGCCAAGGATTGGCCACCATTCCCAATGGATTCCCACGGTAGTTGACAGAGAAGTTGTAAAAGTTGACGACAGCAATGACAATGGCCACACTAAGGTAGGTGAACACAGCAGTGCCAATCAGTTCGGTCAACAAAGCTCTGTGAAGACGTCTGTGACGTACTTCCTCCAAGCCCATCATTAGACTGAGGTATTCACGAATGGAGAATGGAGTGCTGTCGGGTGATGGAGTCTGATCGCTTGCCATTGGCAGTGTCTTGTCCTTGGCCAAGTCCAGACCAGTGACCTTGACGCCAGAGTTGTCATAGCGTAGTAAACCACCTGGGGAGTCTGATGCTCTCACAGTTATTATCTTTACCCTTCTCTCTCTGTCTCTTAACTTTATCCTTCTATGTGATTTGATTGTAACTACATTCTGTTGTTGTTGTCGTCCATCCGCTATTGTTGATGGTGATGAAGATGATGTTTGTTCAGACATTGATTCCATTTCAATGTCATCCATTCTATTACTAACCTATCTATCTAGTTGATTAATAGAATAACATTATTGATCAACCCTTATTGGATACTCTCTACATGTTGAGTAGTATGTACCTACTAATCATATGATATAAATAACAATTCTAAGGTTTGAATGGAGATCCAGAACTCGTCATTTCGTTCCAATTTATAACAGTCTTTGCTGGTGTGGTGGTTCTGGGGCCTCTTGGCTTTAATGGTCCTGAATGATTGATCGATCAATTGATTGTGTGTGTGTGTGTCTTGTGAAGGGATCATGTAAACGCTTATAATACAGTTGCTAGAACAAGTTGTTGTAATTTGGTGTATGATCCAAACGTAATCATCAAATTGTACCAAGTAAATGTGTCTAGCATTGAGCATTGACCATAATTGCAATTGCGGCAGATGTGATAACTTTATTTACATTAGTTTACCTAGATTGGTAGATAGATATATGGCATCCTGTGTGATATATGTCAATCAATCAATGTTAAATAAATAGTGTCAAGTGTTCGTGTTTGTCTTGAATATTGTTGCAATAAGATAGCTAACTAACTAGCTAGCTAGCTAGCTTACACTAACGAATGAAGATGAACACATACCTGGTATTTACGAGACAGTATATATTTGTTTGGTACAGGTTCTTTAAATGCACTTGACAGTCTAAACCTAAAGTAATCACAGTTTGAATACTGCAACTCTCTGTTTGCCTTCCTCAGTATGTTTCTATATATCTGTATGATCTCCTTCTTTGCTACCATTCTTGATGACAATGTATATATATATATATATTAGTATTATCTGTGTACAATGTTGACAAGTTAACTGTTTTGAACATCAAATACTTCGTGTTTTGAAGCGAGTACTTATGAACTGAAAAGGGATGAAGTTGTTTGACAATCAACCATTCATAATCGGCAGACGAGTCACTTATTCAATTATTCATACAAACTACAACAACAGGGAATGGCAAGAACAAGACAACAACCAAAGAGAAGACCAACATCAGAGTCAAAGTTCAAGAGACATCCAATATCAGCAATCTCTTATTCCTCTCATTTGAACTTGATTGCATATTCAATTGGTAGTTCAATCTATGCATATAATCTAACGTATGTATATATATATAACAATATGTTGGTGACATTAACAATGATAATAACTTCAATATAATAGTACAAAGACAGTTCAATATGTTGGTGATCATCAGGATGTTCAATCACTTACATTCAGCAACAAGCCAGATTCAAAGTACTTTGTGACAACATCACCAAAGAAGACCTTTAAGATTTGGACACTGAACACAACAGACAACTCTATCACTTGCACACAGACAGTGTAAGTAGTATTGTGATGGACCAAGCACTAAACAACAACAACAAACTTGTAAACTAATCTATATGTATACATCTTACCTTTAGTAACACCAACAAGAAGATATTCACAGCAATTGTCACCAATGATGACAAGTCTATTGTACTGTCAAACAGGGATGGTGATGTCTACTTGTACCACATCGATGGTTCAAACAACATCACAGAGGGTGTTGAGGAGGGTGATGAGCAGAACCTCTTGTTGGGTCACTTCTCTGCTATCACTGATATTGTATGTCTCTTGATCATGATCATCATCATTGGTACCGCTCATACTAACACGACACTTAGCATTTCTCACAATGTTTCAACTATCTAATCACATCTGACCGTGATGAGAAGATTAGAGTGAGCAACTATCCAAATACATTCGATATCCAGAACTTCTGTCTGGGTCACAAGACGTAAGCATTCAAGCAACTACGTACAATATTGTGTCAGACACTAATAATAAGTTGTTGTTGTTGTTATCCAGGTTCGTATCTCAATTCATTATCATCCCAAACAGACCAGATATACTGGTTTCAGGATCAGGTGATGGAACGATCAACGTTTGGAGATGGAAGGAGGGAACACTGTTGCAAACAGTGGACGTCAAGGGATCCGACACTGATTCAAAGGAGGATTTCGTCACCATTCCACTGGCATTCGCCAACAACACTTTGTTTGTCTCGATCGAGGAGAGACCAATCATCATCACCTATCGATTCGATGAGACTGAAACATTGGTAGAGTCAAAGCGTGTTGACTTGCCTTTCTCACCACTGTTCATGTCGTTCGTGGTGTCTGGTGACAAGTTGGTCATGCCAGTGATCACAAACCAGGCAGACTCTCCATTACTCTGCACTCTTGACATTACATCGTTCAATGTTGACACTGGCTTTAGTGATCCTGTCAATGGTTTCGACTATCAGGCAGCAGCAGCAGCAGTAGCAGCAGCAGCGGCAGCAACTTCATCATCAGACAACAACAACAACAACAACAACAACAAAGGAAAGGAGGATGGAGAGGGAGACTTGGCCAACCTGAACAACCTATTGAAGATTCACTACAAGAAGTATCTGACACTGAACACAAACAAGAAGAGATTCGGTGGTAACAAGGCAGACAACGATGTCGATGGCGACGAGGACGATGATGCACAAGATGACGACCAACAAGACGATGACCAACAAGAGGGAGATGATGACCAGGAGAATACTGAATCCGCCGCTGGTGACAATGGAAACAACAAGCCTCTTAAGCTTAGAAAGATGACTGTTGAAGGTGCCAAAGAGGTAACAAAGTAATAAATGAATCTCAATCGAATGGGTATGAAAGACAGACTGCATGCATCGTCATCTCAACTTGGACGTTGCCTTTTTCATCGTGGTGCTGGGGGCTTTTTTCACCAGGAGGTGAAAAAGTGAGAGGGTGAGTGACTCACTTGTGTAGTTGTACTTTATCACTTTCATTATCATTGCAAGTCAATACATAAATATTTCAAAGAGTTATAATATATATCCTCATATAAACCTAGTTATTATTATTATTATTAAAACATAAAGATGGATCAACAACAGATGGTTCAAATTAAGATCATTGTGTTCTCTTCATCAGACAACAATTCACCATTGATACCAATAGCTTTAAGCAACACTGTGGCCGACCTAAAGCAGTTGATATCTGATACTCTGCAGTCAAAGCCTCATCCCTCCACTCAGAAGTTGATCTTTGCTGGAAAGTGTCTAGAGGATCAACAACAACTGTCCAACATCTTCAAGCAGAGCAATCTCACCCTGCCTCAATCCGTACATCTTGTGCTGAGAAAGCCTCTCCCATCCTCTGTTACACCTCAATTCAAGCCATTGGCCTCAATTTCGTCACCATCTCAACCACCACAGCAACAGCAACAGCAACAGACTGACTCTATTCCAAGTCAAACACCTACATCCAATCCATCAACCTCCACACCTATCGCACCAATCGATTCAACTCGTTCTCCAGCAAGCAGTGCTACATCATCTCCAATGCAAACATTCACAATGCCTCCCATGGTACCTCCACAGGTCATGTCCTTCACTTTCCGTCCAGGTCAAATGCACTTTGCCCCTCAACCTTTTGTTCCAATGCCAGTGACTGCAATCAATTACAACAACAACAACAACAACAACAGCATTAGCAACAACAGTACCAATACCAACTCATTTAATTATGGACCAACACCATCTCAGTTCTATGCAAACAACAACCAAACATCGATTATGCCTTTTGGACAACCACAAGGCATTCAACAGATGATCAATATGTTGCAAGTGATGCAGGTTCAGCAGCAGCAGATACTCTTCTATGCTAGACAACAACATTTGACTGCTGGTCCCCAGTTGCCTCCTGTTGCAATCCCTGTTCAACTTCCAGCTCACCCTGCTGCGCCCGCAGCACAACCTCATCAAGCAAACAGACAGCGACCACCTAGACGAATCAATGGTGGCACCATATTGAGCATAATATTCAGACTACTGATGCTAAGTCTATTCCTTCATGGAGGTTCATTGGAAAGAACATTTACACTAGTTTGTGTTGGTGTTGGCTATTATCTGTAGGTACTTCTTCACGCGTCACCAATCATTTAGACACTGGTCTCTAACTATGTATCAATTGTTATTATAGTTACATGCATGTCCTTCGCAGGCCACCTGTTCCTGCCGTTCCTGTTGTAAGAAACAATAATGTCAATAATGCCAACAATGCCAATAATGCCAACAATGCCAACAACAATAATGCCCAGCAACCAGAGCAGCAACCAGAGCAGCAACCACAGGAACAACCACAGGAACAACAAGAGCAGGGTCAACAACAACAACCTGAGCAACAAGTAGTTGTTCCAAGGGAAACAGATTTGATGACAGAGATCATTCAGTTCTTTGTACCAATGTTGCAATCGTTGCTTCCAGGATGGAGACCACAAGCGAATGGTGTTGTTGCAGCTCAGAATGTTGCCGTTGGCGATGACAATGATGACAACAACGAATAATTATAAACAGCAACATGTATACTATTATTGTACCTAACATGTATTGGCGCAAGAACAACGCTAATTGGTGATATCAGTCATCGTCGCATCGGTTTGCTACGTCTTGTTTCTTGGCATTGCCAGTATCGTTGGTAGATTTTGTGTTCTCTGAGCGTTGCTGTTCCTCAGCATCGTGGCGTGGCTCATCCAAATCTTCCTTGTCCTCTTTGACTACGTCACCTGTAGGTATGTCATCTACTTCAGCTGACATGTTGCTGCTGCTGCTGCTGTTGTTATCTACGTGATCGTCTGCATTCACTTCATCATCACCTCTTTGGTTGAACGTATGGCAGAATCTACATCTAAACTCTTTAGATTGGAAATGAGAATAATTAGTTGACTGCTTGAGAATGGCGGCATCAGTGGTATTACTTACGTATTGATTCCAACTCATGGGTTGGAACATAACCATTGTGGTTGTGACAATTGTGGCAAATGAGTGGCGATCCATACTTTGGCCCGTCAGAGATGATGTAATCTACAACCTTGTCCAACCAACTCTGTTGTTTGGGTGGCTGGGATTGCCTTTGTTGAGGTGATGATGCATTGTTGTTGTTGTTGTTGATTGGTATGACTCCCTTTGGAAGTGGACGAATTGGTACAGGTTGCAGTACATGCGGGCGCTTTGGTGGCGGTAGTGGCTGTTGCTGCTGTTGTTGTAGTTGAGAGTGAATGTTTGGCGTGGTGTTGACACTTCTTCCCGCTGGTGATGAAGTTGGTGAATCGATAAGAGCACTGCCGATCGAAGAAGAAGGACTTTGCTGATATTGCTGCTGCTGCTGTTGCTGAGGCATGGGTCTATGTCTCAAAGAGGACTGCTCTTGCAGTTGTGATTGAATACTATTGGTGACCCTAGATGAACTGGTAGTGGACTTGACAGGTGAAACCCTTGTCAAAGGTTGCTTGGAGGGAGGTGTAGTGACCTTAGTCCTACCATCAGGGCTTGTGTCTTTGAGAGTCGGTTAGGTAATGTCTTAAACATGCCAACATGTTGACCAACCAACCAACCAACCAACCAGATGATGCTTACTCTTCATAAGTTTCTCATACTTGTCTATTATCTTTTGAGTATTGTCATAGTCAGTCTCCTTCTTCCTTGCATCTATCTTTTGCTGAAGTTGAGTCTTGAGAACATCCAACTTGCTCTCATTGTGATGTATCTTGTATACATAAATATAGTTGAATATCTTGGTAAAGCAATACATACTACAAATGACATGTCATGTTAGTCGACTAGTCAGTAGTAGTGAAGGATTGAGTGCAAGGTTCCAACCTACGTGACTGGGAAAATGACCAATAGGGAGTAGTATAAGATATTGTCATTGAAGTGCTCTGCTGAGGATGATGATCGTGTTCTATAGTAGGTCCAAAGGAACAGTAATAACTCTAATAATAGACCATATAGAATGATACGAGAGAACACTGTTCTCTGTGTCAACCTAGCATTGGATACAGCATCCTCATACTTTAGTATCTTGTCTTCAATGTCTGCGAACTCTCTTTCCAATGATTTCTATTGTTGTATCCTATCGTTAGTCATCTATCAGTGATAACAAGACATCTATCTACTACCAGACATACCTTTTTAGAGAAGTAAGAACCCATTTACAGTAATATAAGTACAAGCATCTACTTGTTGTTGTTGTTGTTACTACTGCTTATTCTCAATATTATTATTTGTAGTGAAGTGTTCATCAACAACTATATTTAAAGTGAGAAGTTCACATCAAACTAAATACGCGCCACACAGTCACAAACTTTATTATTATTACAACAATCGATGGACGGTGATACATTTACACCAACTCCAATATGAATGGTGAACCTTTAACAGGTAGAGAATCACTGCTGACATGGATCGTGTAGGTACCACTTTGAGGKTGAGTTAAAGAATACAGTGTAGGTGGCTTGCTTTCTGAGCCTTGAAGTTGTCCTTGACGATGCAATCGATCTGTTTCAAGAAGGACGCTCCGGCGGGTGTCTCACCAGCCTGCGATGCACCCTGTCCGTCCAGCATCATCTTGACCTCAAATACATCTCCTCCACTGATCCTGGCCTGACCGGCATAGTCAACTGCTGTGATCGTAAACTGGTTGGGTGTGTTGACCTTCAACTGTGTCTGCAGATCACTGACTGAGCAGTTGGGTGCGTAGGCCTTCATGTAGGGTCTGATGTTCTGCAAGAAGATGGGTATGCCCTCCTTGATCCACTCTGCGTATGGGTACTCCAACGGGTTGGGCACCAAGAGGATGTCGATCGATGGGTTCAGTAGACTGAGCTCGCCAGGTACCTTGGTCAGGTTGTTCTGGGTCAGGTTGATACGACGCAGGCCAGTGAGCCAGCCAATCTGCTTGGGAATCGAGTTGAAGCCGGCCGCTGACAGATCCAACTGTTTCATCTTCTTGAGAGTGCCCAATGAGAGCGCAGTCTGAACGCTGAATTCTGGTATACGGTTGTGAGCCAGAGACAACTCTGTCAAGCTCATTAGCTTGGAGAGGTCAAAGTCGAACGAGGTCAGACTGCATCCGCTAAAGTCAAGTGTCTCGAGATGTGTCAACGTGGTGAACACTGGTGTCAGTGTACCCATGTTGTTGCTGCCGATGCGCAGCGTTCGAAGGTTGGACAACGTTGATATGGGTGGCGGGAACGATGTGAAGTTGTTCTCAGAGAGGTCCAGGGTGTGCAGCGTGGCCGACAGATGTGATATCTCGTCGGGCAGGTAGTTCAGACGGTTGCCACTGAGGTCAAGTGTGCGCAGATGGCGGAGCTCGAGGATGGGTGTCGGGAAAATGGAGACCTTGTTGTGGGCGTAGAGAAGCTCCTGCAGCATGGGCAGTGAGAGGGCGTTGGGGAAGGACTGGATCGAGTTGATCGATATGTTGAGGTATGTGAGGTGACTCATGTTGTTGGGCACATTGGTCAACAGGTTGTTTGAGAGGTCCAAGTGTGTGAGGTGCGCCAATGACGAAAGAGATGCTGATACGTCGTTCAGTTCATTCGAATCAGCGACCAGACCCTCGAGCAGCTGGAACTTCTCGATACTGTTGTGGAACTCTGTCAAGAAGTTCTTTCCAACGTTTAGCTGTGTCAGTGTCTTGCGGAACTTTAGAATTCGCTTTGGTAACTCTTTAAGGTCACATGAGCTGAGGTTCAGTTCACGCTCACCATCCTTCTTGCATAGGTATATCCTGTCCCTTGCATGTTGTGATAAGTTATTTCCCATTTGAGATTATAATAGAAGTGATAAATAATACAGATAGATAATTAATATGTATATAAACAATGATTCTAAAGTAATCTGATCATAATGATTGTGGTCCCCAGCATCAGGTGTAACTGCCGTTAATTAGATTCAAATAAATGAAAATTGTTTCAATGGCCTGGCCCATTTCAAACCATACAGTGTTTATTTGCCCCCCCTTTAATCTTGATCACTTCTTTGCAGCAGTGCTTGATTTTTGTGATTGTTGTCCGACCTGTGTTGGTTGTGGCTGCTTCTTCTCCTCTTTCAGTTGTGCCTCCTCATTTGCCTTCTCAATGGCTTTCTCTTTCTTGAGCTGCTTCTCCTTCTTCTTGGAGGCCAGAAGATTGGGTGCGTGCAGTCTGACATCAGCCAACATGTTGGCGGTGAGTTCCTCGTCCTTGATGTTCTTGATCAGCTCCTTCTCTCTCTTGGACATGTTTGGATTCTGTAGGAGCGCCGCACTGGCTTGCTTGGCGGCCTTTCCTCTCTTGAGCTGTCCAGGAGTCAGCTTGACCTTGTACTTGTAGTTGGTGAAGATTGTGTACGGTCCAACCACTGGGATGGCAAAGTGAAGAATGTCGTTTTCCAATGGCTGACCAGTGAGTGTGTCAATGTTGGTGACATTCTCCGAGTCGATAGAGGCCGCTGCCATGTTCTCCTCCTCCAACAACTGTTTGATCTCCTCTTGTTCCTTCATCTTATCCTCTCTCTTCTCCTTTCTTCCTTTTCTAGACTTCTCCTCTCCATTGTTGTTGTTGTTGTTGTTGTCATCCTCGTCCTCCTCATTGTCAGATGTTTGTTCTTCTGTGGACAGTGGCTGAGTGGTGGTGGTGGATGTAGTCGACGTTGTGGGGGTGGCAGTCATTGTGTCCTCTTGCTTGAAAACCAAGTCCTGCAACTTGGTTTGAATATCCTTTGTATCTGTTGTGGTCTCCACCTTTTGAGCGCTCTCCTTCTCTCCCGTTGCCTTTGGCTTTGACTCTTGTTTGCTGTTGTCTGTCTTTTTGGCAGGAGTCTGTTGTTGCTTTCCCTTCTGACCCTTCTTGTCCTTCTTCTTGTCCTCCTTCTTGCTGCCAGCTGAGCCAAGCAACTTCATTCTCTCTTGTCTCTCCTCTTCATCTTGGTCACCGTACTTCTCCTTGATCTTTTTCAGCTTGTTCTTCTGACTAGGCAGAAGATGCTTGGTTGGCTCGCCCTTCTTCTCCTTTGCAGCAGAGGTTTGTTGTTGTTGCTGCTTTTGCTGTTGTTGTTGTTGTGCTACCGGTGTCTCAGTGTCCTCCTCATTGTCTCCTGGACCACCCTTTTTCTGTTGTCTTCTCTCAAAGGCAGTCATGTGCGACTTGTTCTTCTGATTGTCACCCTTTGATTGTGTGATCGTTTCCTCGATACCACTTTGCTGTTGGGTCTCCTTGGCTTGTTCAGTCTTCTCCTCATCCTCGTGGAAACTACTGACCAGTTTGATACGGTACTTGTTGGAGCTGTCTGTCGACTGACCGAGTGATGCCACAGGCTGTGCCTTTGTGGAGACTGTAGTCGAGGTGATCTGATCGGACACCTCCATACCATCCATCTCGGCAAAGGCTTCCTCCTCCTGCTCCTTCTTTAGTTTGGCCCTCTCAAACTTTCGCAGCTTCTTCTCTCCGGTGCCATCTTCGCCAGCTGGCTCGTTTGAAATGTCATCATCATCGTCAGCATCACCTTGGCCATATGAAGGGGATCTCTCTCCGACGTGGTTGGCAATGCAGCTGTCATCTATCTTGAACATGAAACCAAATCCCATCACCAGCTGTGAGTGCGGGAGATAGTTCTTCTTGCCACGAATCATGAAGGATCCAGTGGTGAGGAACTCACCGGACGGGGCAGTCTTGCTGACTTGGTTTGCATAGACCCAGTAGGCACTCGTGACGACCTTGGCCGACCAAGCATTACTGTAACACATAGTCATTGTTCCAGCTTGGATCAGGGTGTTGGGTGGAATTGGGCCACCCTTCTGGTTCTTGATCAGACATGACGTCGAACCAAAGATGTCGGCATGAACGTAGATGTCATCCTTCTCCATGTACTTCTTAAAGAGCAACTCATTCTGCTGGGCGTCCTTTCCACTGATTACAAGGTAGTTGTCCGAGCTGATGAACCAGTGGAACTTCTCAAACCAGAACACCTTGCGCATCTGGATCATTGAGGCCTTGGCCTTCACCTCACCCAACTGCTGTCGACTCTTCTTTTCAGCAGCCTTGAGTGCAAAGTCTGCCTGTTGAATAGTCTTTTGTGCCTTCTCATGAGAGTGTTTCTTGCTGTCATAGTACTCTCTGGCATTGGCAAACGCCGTCAATGACAGGTCGACATCGATCAGTGTTGGTTTCCTGGCCTCCTTGTCGTTGTGCTTTTTGTTTCTCTCCTTCTGTTTGCTGTCATCACCGTCGTTGTCACTGTTATCATCCTCATCACTGTCGTCACTCTCGTCACCATCCTGATTGTCGTCATAGAGGAAGGCGTCTGTGAGGGCAAGGGAGATCTGGTTGGTCTCGAGTTTGAGCTTGTGTATCTTGTTGGCCACAGAGTATGGATTCTTCTTCTTCTCCTCCTTGAGCATCTGGGCAAGAGTGGTCCAGTCCATGGATGCAGCCACACCACTTCTGATGATGAGGATACATTGGTCCACCTCCTGCAGGTTGGCCTCGATGAGTTGGGCCTTCCTCTGGTTGTCGGCCTCGGCGGCATACAACGAGTCGATTCTGCGCTGTTGGTCATCTCGCACCTTGTCCAACTTCTTTAGTACTGTCTGTTCCTGGGCAATGCGCTGCTGCTCCACTTTCTGCGACTCGATCTCTGAGAAGAACTGGTCCACGGCCAGATCGAACGAGTCATACTCTAGGTACTTCTTTGTCTGATACTGCTTGTAGAGGAATGGCACAAACTCTTCGTAGACGACCAGCTCTTTTGGTGGCTCATCTGATGTGGGTAGAGCTGCGGCCTCCTTTTGCTTCTTGGCCTGTTGTTGAGGCTTATTCTCCTTGGGTGGTTTGAGCACAATGTATCCTTTGGATGGACCGGCTACATCATAGATCTTTTGACCCTCCTTGAATGACTCGATCAGTGCCTGGTTGTACTTCTCTGGCTCGTACTGTTCGATTCTGAGATTGGACTGAAGACCAGCAGAGAGCAGACAGTGTTCGATGAGCTCTGGACCAAAGTCAAGGCTCTTGTTGAACACCTGCTTTAGTGTTTCCTTCTTGTCTTCCTGCTGTGTCAGGATTTGTTCAATGAGCTCGGTGGTAAAGGTCGATGGTTGCTTGCAGTTGTCCACAGGGTAGACGTCGCCCACAGCAATGTTGTCACTCTCCTTGAACTGATGTGTTCTGAGAATGGCCAACACTTTGTAGTCTCCATCTGTAAGAATGATGTTACCCTAGTATAATGATGTTTAGGTTGTTAGAATGTGTTGTGTTTGATCATTAATGTACTGTTTATAAACATAGAGACATACAATAGAGAACAACTCAATGATGAGATGTTGTGTTGCGACACCTGATCCAAAGGTAAAGTCCACTATTCTGTCCACACCCAGTTGTTTGACACTCTCCAATCTCTTGGTCTTGAGGTACTTTCTAAGCTACAGGGATGTATGTATGTTAGAATCACCTGTTGATTGAGGCAGAAGATGGTGTTGCTATTGCCTTACAGTGATTGAGAATGGAGCTGGAGTATGGTCACCCTTGTCACGGGTAAAGTTGGTAGAGTGTATACGAATACCAGACTCGATGATCAGTGTCTTCTTGTTGTCAGGCTTTGATAGCTTCAACAAGAACACTCTAGGACTGAGGTCATAGATGTTGGCCAATCGCAGGCCAATGACAGACCTCTGCAGATTGCAAACAGTGGTCCTAATATCGATTGACGAGAATCTGGTCTTTGTCATGTTGTATCTGTTTGTTGATTGAGTTGTATGTGTGTGTGTGTTTGTTTGTTTGTTGGGTTAAAGTGAAATTCAGCAAGTCCCTCATTATCAGGTGTGACTAGGTAGACCTGGGATCTTGTTTCTTTCTTTATTCTCCACCCACCAGCTTGTTGACAACCAATTCAATTCAACTTGAAGAGACATAAACACAACATTATTAATAACAATATAACTATTACAACAATAATAACTATAACTAATAATAACATGCAAGACACTCTGACAAAGTCTGATGAGTTTGTCGTTGGTGATGGAGACGACACTCCTATTGCTCCTCCTCATGTTGTCGTCGCAGGTGGCGATATGATGAAGACCAACAACACATTCTCAAGGGCAATGGATTTCAACAGTGATGCTTATGATGAGATGGATGACTACAACTACCAAGATATCGATGAGGATAGCGATAATGAATGTGTTCATTTGGATCCTATTGAAGATGATTTCCCTGTCTCTTACAACAACAATAATAACAACATTAACAACAACAACAATATCAACAATATCAACAACATCTACAACAACAATGTTGATCATTCTGGAAGGTTATTCGAATCATATCCAACAAACCCACAGACCCAGATCAACAGTGAGTTTGCCAAACAAATTGTACAATCGCAGAATAAGATGCTTTCTCATAACAACAAGAAGAAGGACAATGACAAATTGGTGATGGGAGTCAACACACCTCTTAGCGGTAAAGTATTGCAATCATAATAATCCATGATTGATTGATGACGATCATTCTGACACATCCACAAATCAAATGGTCATTATAGATTACCTGGACCCAACACTATGCACACCATTCACCCTTGAGTTCTTGAAGGACCAGGGTATACAGACCTTGGGCCAGATGGCAGTGATGGAGGATTTGGTCGCATTGGGTGACATCATTGATGATCCTTCCATTCCCATTCTTCAGACCCTTGTTCAAGAGTTGCTTATTGACCGATGTGCATGGCGAGAGTTTATCAAACCAGAAATCGATAGCAGCAATGTCAATGTACACTCCTCCCCTATGGGTAAGTAGACAACATCAGTATCTTCAACTGTCCAACCTGCAGGATTACTAATAATGACCAAACAGTTCTAATTGGACATACAAATGAGGATGAAATGTTCCTAAAGTCCATCAACATTTACACCATCAACCAGCTGCTACAAAGCAAGGCGCTTCCAGAGATTGCAGATGTATGTGTAATTGAATGTTATCCTGTTTGGATGTCCTTGAAACACTAATACGAATACTTTTTCTGTATAATATCCAGTCTCCAAGACTTAAGTTCTATATGAACATGGCTGAGAGGGTGTCCTTTGGATCGGCCCACCCATTCAGTGATGTCTCCAATAAGGGAGCGTCGTCATCTTCACAAAATACTTTAGTGAAGGCACCAGAGATCTTTGGTTACTTCTATGCAAGCACCAACTTCCATAGACAGCTCGAGACTGGAAACATCCTTGTCCCATCTATCAGTATGTGTATCCCTACTACCAAGATCATCATCTCTTCCAGAAACTCACTGACTCACAACTATTATTTATAGAACAAATATTTGAGGACTACATCAAGAGAGACACCAACCTTCGATTCCAGCATGAGTGGAGAGGAATATTCTCTCGATACTTTACTCTAGCCAAGAACAGCTTGAACGTTAACAATCCCACTGATCTGGATGTTTATACATATTTGACGATGAAGTCGATCCATGGCTTTGGTGGTCTGGACGGTATTACAGGAGTGCGATTCTTCTGGAGTGACATCAGAGATACAGACTACTTTGACTCCCTACCAAAGATGACCAAGTTGGAGTATGTACCTGGGAAGCTACGCTCTGTTTCGGAAACAAACTTACTAACAAACCATTCTCGTCAACAACATAGCTTCAAGTACCTGTACCAGATCAAACTATCACATGCAGTATCAAAGGGACTTAAACTTCAATTATTCGTTCCAGAGACCAACAATGTAAAGGATGTGAACCCTGTCGGTCTGGAGGCATCAGTCATCAATATCATTGAGAAGACAGTGAATCCAGTTCTCCATGAGTTCAAACACACACCTTCCAAGTCTCCAGATCCCTACTTGCACGTTCCACAAGGTGTCCTCATTCCAGGCACCGGTGCCTTCTGCACATCAGAGTTCTGTGTTCTACCAAACGCGGCAGAGTTGACACAGAATAAGTGATGTTGGCCAATGTCTACATTGAGTAATCCGTGAATACTCAGTCAAGTCAGTCTTTTGTTATTAATACAATTCCCAATAATGGAGATCTGTTTTTTTGTTCAAGATGGATACCTTGATCATTCATTTTCAATCAATCTTAACACTTGTTTGTGAATACAAATAATCACATAAGATGGCATCAACTACTACACACAAAGGATCAACATTGTCCACACATGTTCTGGACACAAACACTGGTAATCCAGCTGTTGGTCTAAAGGTTGGGCTCCTAACTTTGTACTCGTCACTTGATGTCATATAATATCCTAATGACTTCATATATATAATCACCTAGGTGACCTTGGAGAGACTGACAAATGAAGGTCAACAACAACAAGTGTTGGTAGAGCAGACGACCAATGCAGATGGCAGAGCAAGAGAGTTCCCAGAGCTAGAGAATGGAGTGTACAGGATGACTTTCCACACTGGTGACTACTTTAAGCAGCACAACATCACAGCATACTTCTACCCTAGAGCAACAGTAGAGTTTATTGTTGATTCTCAAAGACACTATCATGTACCTCTCTTGCTAAGTCCATATGGATATTCAACCTATCGTGGAAGTTAATAAATAATAAAGATTCATGTAGAGCTTTGTTGTTGTTTCAAAACCATTCAATAGAACAAGCGATGAAGATTAACTCTAACGTTGTCATTGTAAGATATATATTTATCTGTCATCTGTCAGACAGCGTCATCAGCATCTGATACTAATTGAATCTAAAGATTGGAAACAAGGTTGTACTTGTACCTTACAAAGAGTGCCATGTAGAGAGGTATCATAAGTGGATGTTGTCAGAAGAGATTAGAGGTAGGTAGACCTTAGAGTGTTGTATCGTATTGGTCCTGTGATTCAATTGACACCAATATCTCGCCACTCTATAGAGCTGACCGCAAGTGACTTGTTGACATTGGAGGAAGAGTACGAGAATCAACAAAGCTGGTACGTCGATCCAAAGAGTATGTTTAGGTTTAACACTTGGGCAACCATTATTGTACATATATCTTACTCAAACATCAACCCAGAATGTACCTTTATCATATTGGACAAATCAAAGCTATCCATTGACAACGAAAGCAAGCAAATCATTAGTAACTTAGATGCGATGGCAGGCGATGTCAACTTGTTCTACAATGACTATGAAGAGGAAGGAACAGCAGAGGTCGAGGTGATGATTGCAGAACCCAGTTGTCGTCGTGGTGGATTAGGACGCGAGGCCATCGAGATCATGATGCACTATGCCAGAACATCACTGGCCGACATGACACAAAGATTCATCGTCAAGATAGGCGAGAGCAACGCCGCGTCGATTGATCTCTTCTCCAAACTTGGTTTCCAGACAGTTGGTCAGGTCAATGTATTCAAAGAGGTCAACATGATACTAGAGATCAACGGCAGTAACAACAGCAACATGGAACATCTGATATACAAACAAATATAGTGACTATTTATCAAACATCCAGTAGTTTACTTTGCATTGTAACCATTGGTGTAGGCATTGTTCTTAAGGTTGTTGAGCAGGATCTGAATCTCTGGAATGGTCTTACTCTCCAGTTGTTGTTTGTCGCTTGCACTGCTCAGCACCAGTTGAACGATACGATTCGTCAGGTCATTAACGTTGGTGGCGGCCAATCTTGCGCGCTTCTCATCGAGTGGACTGACGACCTGTGCCTGTTGTTGTTGAGCTCCTCCCTTCTTCTTCTTTGGGTCCTCAGCAGCTGATGCAGCAATGTCGAACCTAAACTCCAATTCATTCTTTTGTGGACGATGATTGATGCCAGAGATCTTAATGCCTGGCAACTCACCTGTCGACTTCAAATGTGTTGCTGGACAACAGTTAATGTTCCAACCTGGAACTTYCAATGAGTGTCAATGTTGTAACAGAACTGAGATTGGTCGATCGGTTTAGTATTAGTATGATGTTTAGTCAAGCATCTCGGGGGTATATGATAAGGTTTGAACGTACTCTGGGACGGGGAACTTATCATAGATGTATGTGTTGTTAACTTTGTCCTTTGTATACTTTTCCTCAGCAGCCTTCCTCTCCATAGTGAAGACATTGAAGGGTAGATTCTCCTTGATCACTCTGTTGGCCTCTTGCTCGATCTTTTGAATTGTAGCATCGTCTGGTTTGTCTGGGTTTGTATACTCAATGCATACTCTTCCCTTGACCTTGTTCTGACACTCTACACTGACAGTGACTGGACAGTTGAGCACCTTTACGATGGCACCTTTCAGTACATGACATGCACTGTCTGTAATTGTATCTCTTGCTTTAGTTGCTGACATGTTGCTGTTTGTTTGTTTGTTGGTTGAAGTGAGAATGGTGAAGGATAACAAAAAACCACCCGTTTTCCGTTTTCTACAGGTTTGATTGAAGTTGACCTCCAGTGGAGGTCAACAAACAATACTAAATATAAAAATATAAGATTTAAATCTTTATTTTATGTATCTGATCAGTTTGGAAGTCAGTCCTACAAGCCAACAGTTTCTTGACTTCAGTTGGAGACAGTTTCCAAGAGAGCATACTACTGTTGTCAGACCAGAACTCTTCAATCTCTGACAGTCGCTCCAATGTCAATAGGGAGACGATCTGATTGAGTTTGGAGAACTTATCTCTGATGGTGGACTTGCACAGCTTGGCAAAGAAGTTGAATATGGCTCTGATGTCCTTTCCAAACTGGAGGGCGCCTATCTGAGTAAAGTGCTTCAGGTAGATGCCATTCTCGATCTTCTTCACAAGGAATCCAATGGTCAGATGCACGATGCTGTCATAGTTGGTCGTTGTGAGGTGATCTTCAAACGGCTGGAGGAACTGTGATATCTCCACGGTGAATGGATAGACAAAGGGATCGTTCACTTCGTTGTTGTCATACTCCTCCTGGCCAATCTCGTAGTTAACACTGGTGAATAGGAACAAGACATTCTTTAGCTTTGGTTGTATACTCCTGAATATCTGATCGATCTCCTCCTGTAGCAGGCGATTGTAACTCTTGGCCACACCGCTAAACTCTGCCACCTGCAGTGCCACCTGATCCTTCTCCTCTGCCAAAGTGTACATCTTCTCGCACCTTGTCTCCAACTCCTTCTTTAACTTTAGAATATATTCTCCACTTGTCTCTATATTATTTAATACAATCTTTATAATAATATAATTAGTTAGTATTCATTTGTTTCTCACTCTCTATGAATGATCATATATATAAATACCATTGATTCTTTGTAGTCAATGTTAGCTTTGGATGTTGCCTTTTGTATTTGCTCTCTAAACATTCTTTGCAATGTCTGTTTGATTCGTTAGCACAGATCTCTAATCCTCTCATAGGAATGATTATAATACATACGTCTTGAGTACGAATCAATACTTTTATCATGCAGTTGGTTATTACGTTGAGTGTCTGCATATTGAAAGAGTCTATTGAACGCTGTAGTGACTTTTGGAGAACAAAGAATATGTAGTCCACCATACTGCTGTTGAGAGAGTCATCAGAGTGCTCGTCCAGTTGAACTGCCTTGTGCGAACTCTCCACCATGAAGTACTCCTCCAACAAAAGATAGCTCCCAAGCAGGTCGTTCATCTTGGATTTAGTCTGTGTTGAGTACATCGTTGTCTTTAGGTTGACCTTTTCCAACTGCTCCAATGTGCTGTGAGGTTGTCCAGGCACTCTAACACCAGAGACCTCTTCGTTGATTGATCTGTCATCCAAAGTGTCGATGTGCTTGTTGGTCGATGATTGACCACCACCACTGACCATTAGTTCAATCTCCTTCTTAATGGACTCCTTGATGATTCTCTCCTTGTTTATAAGATAGCGTTCGTAGAATCTTGTTGCCTTGCTCATCATAACAATCTCATCCAACAGTTGAGCAAAGTTTCTTGGGTCCACTCTGTGTTGTTGTTGTTGATGATGATGATGTTGTTGTTGATGTTCTTTGTTTGTGCTCGAGATATCAGAGACGCAACGGGCGATGCTGAATTGCTCTGAGAACAAAGCGAACACTCTGCCAGTGTAGTTATCGGTGTGATGTGATACCAGTCGAAGGAATAGTGGACACAGTCTAATTCCAAACTCCTTTCGCACCACCTCCAGGTAGTCCTCTATCGTTGATGCAAAGTGCTGTAGTATCTTTGTCAGTATTGTTGTTGCACTAATTCCTCCTGGTGTCTGTTGTTGTGGTTGTTGTTGCTGTTTGGGCTGTGTTGGGCGACCAATGGAGGTTTGGTATTGCTTTACAACAACGTCCAATGTAGCCTCTGATTCCAATTTTAAGAAGTTACAGTACTTCTCCACACCCTCTTCCTCCTTCTGAAGTTGTATATATAGCTTGCAGAATCTGGTTATGAGGTGATATTACGTTAGTATTAGAATAGATCTTCAAAACTCTCTATCATTCTATTTGATTACCTCAATACATCAGAGTGATTGTTAGAGGATAGTGCCAACTTGTACTTCTGTTCAATCATGCTTGACAGTCTCTGTTGTGCATTGTTCAACATTTCGATAGATGATGGCTCCAACACAGCTTGGTCGATGTTGAGATAGCGATGTACATGATTGGCAGCAGCTTCAAAGTCCTCAAGCTCCAATGACTTTTGAATGCCTTCAATGCAGTTCTTATGGTATAATACAAGGGTTAACTACATGATCATAGGTCTGAATGAATGAGTGCACAATGTATTATACATACCTTTAGATCAACGATGTCATCAACCTTCTTTAGAGTCTCCTTTATACGCTCTCTGATGCGATCGAGATTCTTGACCTTTGAAGAGAGCAACTCTGCGAGACTGCACGTCGATGATATGGTATTGGTGAGTTGGTTCGATTTAGATAGGAGGAGACTGAGATAGTCTGGTACATCCTTGTCAAAGCACTCCATCTGTCGCTCAAGGTCATCTTTCATCTGGATGTACTGCTTCAGTTCAATGTCCAACTGGTGATCACGTGTGATCAGTGCTTGCAAGTTACGCTTTGCATCCTCAACAGTCATAACCTGATCATTGTTTGTAATTGTTGACAATATCATATCCATATATGTACAATTATAATAGTGTATTTACAACAAACTAAAGTTACAATGGCACATGATATTGTCATTCACATCTTTTGGTGGTCGCATAAAATCACAAAGCCAGTCAGGACACTCTTTACACTTCCAACAATGTGAAACACACTGAACAGTGCCAAATCCACTGATTAGTAGTTAAGCTTTATAATCTACTTGACACCATTAATAGTGATCAAATCATGTAGCAGTGGATAAAGATAGGAGAACTCTTTTTCTCCTCGCTTGTTGATGGTCTGTGTGTAGGCATCCAGTGCCATTCGTACAAGATGCAGTGCCTCGGTTTCTGTGTGCTCCTCCATCCAACGAACATATTGCTGGGTGCTCCAATTGGTAAACACGTGAGGGAATATCATCTCCTTTGGTCCTCTGGCAATTAAGCAGTGAGCCATTATGATTGCTGGCATGCTATGCATTTCGGTCAAACCTTTAAGAGTGGACTGCTGTGTCAGGTCCTTAAAGATGAAATGTTTAAATGTTCTGACCCAATGATATGGTTGGCCCACCTCTTTGATTCCTTCTGGTATCAAGGGGGTCACTGACAGCTCCAAATGTGTCAGGTCATTGGCGAGCCTCAGCTTGCCCTTCTCGTTCATTGGTTTCAGCAATGAAGCGTGGCGAATGAACAATGTGAATAGGCGAGAGACCAGATGCTTGCATTGTTGTGCCAGGATCGGACACGGTGTAAACTTTGAGAGAAAGTTGGAGTTGAAGTGGAAAACGTACTGTTGAAGGTTGTCCATAAAAGATGAGCATTGCTTGGTTGAAGAGATATTGTTGTCGTTGCTCCAGTCCTCAAAGTGGATGGTCGATACAATCTGCTCGGCGCCTTGAAGGAATGTTGTGATTAGAGGTGTAAGAATGTTGGTGCATATGCCGCTGAGCAGCATGATTGACTTGTCTAGCAGCTCTGCCGTTGTTGTGGGCAGTGAGTGAGAGGAGAGAAGGGATTGAAGAGAGTTTTGGAGATGCGTTGCTGAATTGAAGAGGGAGCAGTTGATGATCTGTCCAGAGGTTGGCTTGTTGTCAATGATGATTTCACAAGCCTGTTGACCTTGTTGGATCATTGCCTCCATCTTTGTGGCAAACAGTTCGATCACTGCACTGACCACTTTGGTCACCTTGTTGACCAGTACCTTGTCGCTCTCAATCACCTCGATCTCTGCCCATATTGACTTTGACAGATCGACCATTTGCTTGCTTGTTGGTACGCTTGATGGTGATGAACCACGTCCCCAAGCCGATTGGGGAAACATTACGTTCATTATTGAAAGCATATTGTGTCTTGATCTCTCCAAGTAACCTTTCTCAAACATTGAGATGGTCTTGAACAATAGTTGGTGATCATCCAAACTGTACAGACATGAGTATTAGTAAGATAATGTGTGTGATCTAGATGATTGGGTAATTAACATTACCTTATACCAACTACACCTTGTTGTAGATCACAATAGTTTTGTAGCCTTCTTGAAAAGTCATAGAAGTATCTGGATATCTTTGGATACTCTAGGATGAATGTGTTCTCAATTACATTGGAGGCTGATGTGATGTGGTTGGTTAGTATGATTCCAACGCTACCAACGATATCAACATCATATTTACATTTAGCAGCCACAGTCAAGTTGGTCTCCAACACCTTTGTAGCATTCTTCCAGAATGCATGTGATATGTTGTCTTGTCCTCCAGTCTAAAAATGGATGTATATAGTGTATTAGTATTCATGGATGAAGACCAACACAACAATGTACATACAGTCTTTATGATATCCATCAATGACTTGTTTGTGAGAGGATCTCTGATCTTGGTCAATACCCTCTGAAGCTGCCATATTTGAATGCAGCTGGTGTAGAGACTATCAGTGACAGACTCAATCTTGCTCCATATCGACTGGTCGATGCGTTCCACAGTCTGCTGGTTTCCAACCAGTTTGTTTACGTTGAGCATTGCCTTAATGCTCTTGGTCAGACGCTCAGTGGTGGCGTTGACCACAGAGTTGACACGATCTACCAGGATGCCCAAGTTGTAGAACACTTGCAATGCACTGGCCACCTCACTCTGATTCTGATTGTCCATTGATTGTAACAACAAGTTGGATGCAGTTGTAATGATCTGCTCTCTACATTGATTGACCCATTGAACCTGTGTATCAATGATTGCTATTCCAGTTAGGTTGCTCTCCTTCCTCAATGTATCTATTTAATATTATAGGAGTAATGTTAGATAATGTCGATTGAATAAATGTATTAAACAATGATACAATACCTATCTCATGAATGGATTGAGCGGCTTTAGCTAGGTCCCTACCCTCTTTCAAATGAATCTTTAGCTTCTTGACCAGTGATAGATATCGAATGACCACTCTCAACATCTCACATGTGTCTTGTACTCTTCGCAACTGTGTAATCTGAGACTTGATGTTCATGTATGGCTCTGATATCTCCTTTCTCATCCTCATGATTGACTGCTCCAGACTTAACAGACCCTGTTTCAGTGCCTCTGTCTCCTTGTCAAAGTCCTTGATGTTGGATGCCTGATTGAATAGGTGTTGATAGTTGCCTGTGATCTGCAATAATGATGAAGCTTAGTTATCTGTTATATGTTTAATGTTGATGATCACACCTACACTATCATTTAGCTCTTGTGTGATATCCTTCTTGCCCATGGTCAGCTTCTCGAGTGACGTCTGAATGGATGATATCTTGAGAACATTGCTGGTGTACGCCGTGACGTTAAAGTCATCACTGAGGAACTGTTGGTAGACATCGTTTTCCAGTAGATTCTGTCTTGGTATACCAACTTGATGTTGTTCAACATGCTCTGCTACTGCTTGATTCATGTTTCAATTGACGACAACCTTTAAAGGTCTTAGTTGTAACTAAACTAAGGTAGTAGTTGAATTCCTATGAACATCATCGCAACACCCTTTTTTTTGAAGGGATTGTCATGTGTTAGTTTGGGTGTCTGTTTAAGTGTGTGTTTGTGTGTGTGTGTGTGTTAAATTGATTCCTTAACATAATTAGTACTTGGTGTCATTCAATCAATCAAACCACACAATGAGATTAAACGTTGGCACTCACATCATCATCATCACTCTGGAAGTGATGGCCATCACTTCTTAATAGACAGAGAGAGTTCCCTTCCATACCAATTAAGTATCATCTACAAACAAATATTATCCAATAATTTTTATCTACAAACCTAGAATGTTATCATCATCACTTCTCTTTTTACTACTCTTATTGATATCCTTTATCAATGGTGAACAATCATTATCAGGATTACATATAGTTGACAACCATATATACAACTCCAACCAAGAGAAAGTTTTCCTTCGAGGTGTCAATCGACCCGGTACTGAATACTCCTGTGTCCAGTATGCCTCTGTATTTGATGGTCCAGTCGATGGTGACCATCTCCAACATCTAAAGAATTGGAATATCAACGCCATTCGAGTACCCTTGAATGAAGACTGTTGGCTAGGATTTCATGCTGCAGAGTCTCCATACTTTGGAAGAGAGTACCGAAACGCCATAGTCAGCTACGTCAGTGATCTCACCTCTAGGAACTTTGCTGTTATTCTCGATTTGCATTGGTCCAGCGAAGGTGGAACGGTCCTGGCCACTCACCAAACCGCTATGCCAAACAAGGCCCATGCCCCAATGTTCTGGAAATCAATTGCCAACACTTTTGGAAACAACGGTAGAATATTGTTTGACCTGTACAATGAGCCCTATCCATATGGCAATGCTTGGGACACTGAAGAAGCTTGGACATGTTGGAAGAATGGTACCGACTGTGAACATACAATCGATTACCCTGTAGCAGGAATGCAAGAGATGATTGACTCTATCAGAGGTGTTGGTGCAACCAACATCATCCTTCTATCTGGTATACAATACGCTACATCTCTTACTCAATTCTTGACTTATATTCCTTTTGATCCTCTAAGTATGTATAAATTATATTATAGGATGAACAAACTGTAATAACTAACCATCTTGTAACATATACAACAGAACAACTTGGAGCAGCACTTCATTCATATGACTTTAACTACTGTCGATCCAAAGGATGTTGGGATATCTACTTGAAACCTGTTCTAGATCAATATCCAATTGTAGCCACAGAGGTTGGTCAGAAAGATTGTCAGACTGACTTTTTGTTGGACTTTATCAACTATTGCGATGCAAACAACCTACATTATATTGCTTGGTCCTGGTTGGTGGCCGATTGTTCTACTCCATCACTGATCAGAGACTACATTGGAACACCAACTACCTTTGGAAGAGGATACAAGACCCATTTGAACACTTTGGACGCTGGCCAAACTCCGTTCCACAGTGACACGTTTGATATCTACAACGATAAGATGACTCATTGGGCAGACGACTGGTCCAGCGCTAAACATATTCTTAACAACACGTCACCAGTCATCGAAGGAAAGTACTCTATCGCGTTCAGACCACGTGCCAAGGGAGAGACCTTGTTCTTCATGTGTTGGAGCTGTATCAACACATCCATCCACAAGCAGGTGGAGTTTTGGGTGCATGGTGGACAGTCTGGAAAGCAACTAGTGGACTTTAACCTGTTGACGCTCAACTCTGACAAGACTGTCAACATTGCCTACACACGCCCTCTCACCACATTAATTGGTCGAGATATTCCAGCTGGCCAATGGATCAAGGTGTACGTTGACCTTAGGAATCTCACCTCGTCACCAAACTCGAAGTTTGATGGTTTCCAACTAGTGTCGACCACGTCCGACCAGACAGACATGTACATTGATAAGATAACAGTGCGAGCATTTGTTGATCCTACTCCTCCCTCATCATCATCCTCGTCCGAGTCTACAGCATCAACACAAAGGTCATCCAATGTGTTTGTAACTTTACTACTTACAATGATGACCATAATCCTTTACAATCTTGCTAGCCAATAAACTCAATAGTCGTGGTACCATTATTCTGTACAGATCATCAAACAGGTTTACTATGATTACGCTTTTCATACTCTGTTGTCCTATCGACTAGACATTGATCGAATGCCTTCCACTAGAGTGATGAAGATGATGATGATGATAATGAGTCAATATATCTGTAATACAGTCTTATTGTTGTTCAAAGCACACACAAGACAACAACATACCGCTTTCTGACACTCGTTTGGTATTAAAAGGTTGCCATAGGGTATAACACCTTTGGTGCAGTCGATGAATACTCTTGCCTGCTCAGGACAGAATGTAGACATGATACAAAAGTTCATATGAGCGTGTTGCTCCTGACACTGCTTGCTTGGTTGACCAGGCTTCATCCCATTGCTCTTGTCACATTTTAATGCATCATAAATAGGTTCAACACAAGCAGGGAAGTCCATTACCAATGCAGTCATTGCAGTCAAGTACTCATTACTACTACTAGCAGCAGTACTGCTACTACTACTATTGTTGCTATTGTTGTTGTTGTTGTTTGTCTCTGTCATCACTGGAACAATGATTCTATTCTTCGTGCAGGGCATGAGAGTTTTATCATAACCCTCCCTTCGGACTTTCGTTGAACCAATTGGATGGGGGTGCAAGTATGGTTTTGTCTTGGAGGTGATCAATCAATCTATTCAGTCCTATCTGAAGGGCCATTGTTTACAACTGGTCACATACATACATATATACATATATACATATATATATATATAAATACAAAAATATTTTAAAATATGTCTATCCGACGAAAGAAAGACCGCTTCGACTATCTGTTCAAACTATTGCTGATCGGAGATCAGAACGTAGGCAAGGTGGATATCAACTCAATCATTTCTTAAACTTGCTACACATTTGTACTAATCTTGTAGCCTATCGACATCTATGTGTGTGAGTAGAGTAGTGTCCTGATTAGGTTCTCAGATGACTACTTCTCCAACAAGTATCTCACGACCATTGGAGTGGACTTTAAGATTCGAACCATCGAGCTGGAAGGAAAGAAGATCAAGCTACAGATATGGGACACAGCAGGGTGTGACCGCTTCAAGGCAATCACAAAGTCATATTATAGAGGCTCAATGGGAATTGTGCTAGTGTATGACGTAACATGCAAGACATCATTTGAAAGTAACTAATGAGAGAAGAGAGAGAATTCATTACATTCCTAACTAACAACACAACAACAAACTTATATCATTGTCACGTAGACATTAGGCTATGGATTAAAGAGATTGAAACCAACACAACACCTGGTGTGTCAAAGATATTGATTGGAAACAAGTGCGACTTGAATGATGAAAAGGTGATCGAGAGTTCAAAGGGTATGGAGTTAGCCAAGGAGTTTGGTATGAAGTTCTTTGAAACCTCTGCAAAGTGTGGAATCAATGTTGAGGAGACCTTTATGACATTGGCCACAGAGGTCAAGGAGACTCTATTTAGCGATGCTGACTCTGAGATGGTCCAGGCTTGTGATGAAACTGATGCTCCAGTCACTATCGAAACTACAATGTCAAAGACACCAGAACAAAAGAGTGCTTGTATGTCTGTCTGTCTATTATATATCAAACAAACAAAGTGTCACTGACCCAATCTATCTATCTATCAATCAAATCATTAGGTGGATGTTCTTAGGTCGACTCTTGGTTCTTATTCATTGGCAACAATAGAAACAACTTATTTATTCAATCACCAAACAATCATAGATAACGTTATCTATGGACAACACCTCCACAATGTACCAATAAACAAGCCTTGTAACCCAAACGATGTTGTCAACAAGATGATGGTCCTGTTTGGCTGACCAATTTCCCAATGGGCTGATGATTGGATTCAATTCAAACATAAATTAAATTGATCATCATCCATCAACTAAAGATTCAATAACACTTATACAGAAAGAGATATTTATATAAGTGTATATATAATACAAATAAGATGACACTAACAATTAAACAAAAGGTGGAGAATCTTCGTCAGGTAATGACACAGAACAACATACAAGTCTATGTCGTACCTAGCGATGATGCTCATCAAAGTGAGTACGTCTGTGAATATGATCACCGACGTGAATACATCAGTGGGTTCAATGGAAGTGCTGGTACTGCTGTAATAACCACAGATCAATGTCTACTTTGGACCGATGGTCGCTACTGGCTACAGGCCGGACAACAACTCCAATCAGATTGGAAGATCATGAAGGACCGTGTCCAAGGCGAACCAACCATCGAGGAGTGGATCTCAAAGGTAAGATATTCACAACAACCATGATATTCAACTCACAACATACTAACTTATGATCTTGTAGACTCTTCCAGCTGGTACTACCATTGGTATGGACAGCAGATTAATCGCCAAAAGTTCCTACGACAAGTTCAGATTGGCAGTGGAGAAGGCCAACCAAAAGATCATCACTTTGGAGCATAATCTTGTCGACCACGTGAGAGAGTCTCTAAAGAGTGAGGAACCAGTCAGTAGTTATCCAACTGAGCCTGTATTCTTCTTGCCACTTGAGTACTCTGGAAAGAGTAGCACAGACAAGATCAAAGAGATCAGAGAATCATTGGTCAGAGAGAAGGCTGACTTTGTTGTCATTACTGCATTGGACGAGGTGGCATGTAAGTTTTAAAACAAAACGACACGACCATTATTGTCCTAGACATTAATATTCATATCCTATCCACCTGTATAGGGCTGCTCAACTTGAGGGGATCAGACGTTACCTTCAATCCAGTCTTCTTATCATATGCCATCGTTGGACATACTACTGCCCAATTGTTCATTAATGAACAAAAGGTACCAGCTGATGTTAGAGCAAACCTACCTGGTGTAGAGATCTGTTCGTATGACAGCATCTACTCCACCTTGAGATCCTACTCGGAGCAGAAGAAGAGAGTCTGGATAGACCCAAGATCAAGTCTGTCCATTTACAATTGCGTCAACAAGGACAATCTCATTGAGAAGGACAACCCAATACTCCTAGCCAAGGCCATCAAGAACCCAGTAGAAATTGAGGGTTTCCGTCAGTGCCACATTCGTGACGGTGCTGCCCTCGTCCAGTACTTGGCTTGGCTCGAGGAGGAGATCGTCGTCAAGCACAACTCCACATTGACAGAATACTCTGCTGCCCAGGTCCTAGAGAACTACCGCACCAAGGTTCATGATTACATCAGCCTTTCTTTTGCATCCATCTCATCAATTGGTTCCAATGGTGCCATCATTCACTACAGCCCTTCAAAGGAGACGTGCAAGACAATCGATAACCAGGTCTATCTTATAGACTCTGGAGGCCAATACCGTGATGGTACCACAGATGTCACAAGAACAACACGCTTTGGTACTCCTACCGACCATGAGAAGCAATGCTACACTCGTGTGTTGAAGGGACACATCCAACTGTCCATCCTAAAGTTCCCACCCAAGATCAACGGCTATCAGATAGATTGTATTGCCCGCGTACCATTGTGGAGTGTTGGTCTCGACTATGGACATGGCACTGGACATGGTGTTGGTGCATTCCTCAACGTCCACGAGGGTCCACACAGCCTTACTTTCAGGTCCCTTCCCCATCACTATCTGATCTGTCCCAACATGACTCTGACCAATGAGCCTGGCTACTACGAAGAGGGCAAGTTTGGTATGAGGATCGAGAATGTAATGGTCACTGTACAAGTGCAGCTTCCACACAGCAACTCCTTCATTGGATTCGAGACTGTGACCATGACGCCCTATGAGCGTGATCTCATCATTCCTTCCTTGCTCTCCGAGGAGGAGATGCAGTTTGTCAACAACTATCACGCTGAGGTTCTTCAAAAACTCACTCCATTACTTCAGTCTGACCCACGTGCACTTGACTACCTCAGAAAGAAGACTGCTCCATTGTCAAAGTAATTATTACATTACAACTACTACTACTCTTATCTACCTTTATATAAAGAGATAAATCAACTATAAACTAGCAGCAAATTGACTATAGGAAGGTGAACCGTCTCTTGGATAGAAGCTGTGTACCACATCTATATATAAATGTTAGTTAACTATGCTGTATGCTTGCTAAGATAAGTTTAGACATACCATCTTTTGGTAACCACTGAGATATAGTATTCTTGAGTGATTCCATCTTGACAGGTTTCGCAAGATAGTCATCCATGCCAGCTGCCTTGCACTGATCCTCAGAGTTGTTGGCAGTCATTGCAATGATTGGTATTCTCTGTCCATTGGGCTCTAGCTCTCTGATGATCCTTGAGCAGACAAAGCCATCCATGACAGGCATTTGACAATCCATAAGAATGAGACTAAACTGTTGGTTCTCCATTGCAATTGCGTCCAATATCTTTTGACCATTGGCACAGACCAAACTCTGGAAGCCAAGCTTTGTCAGATGTGCTGTGATCACCTTTTCATTCGTCTTGTTGTCCTCAGCAACTAATATACACTTGGTATTGCCTTGGTTATCGGATACATTGTTATTGCTATTGTTGTTGTTGTTGATGTTGTTGATGTTGTTATTGTTGTGGTTGTTCTTTTGACTAAAAGATAATGATATTATTGATTGGTTAGTGATCGACTTGAAATGATTGTTCGATCCAGCAACAAAGACAAACATACACATTGCTTGGCTGGTGATACTTGAGTATAGCCGTTATCAGTTTGGTTGGTTTGAGTGGCTTGACCAGGAAGGACGAGATGTATTGGTGGTCCGCCAGTGCTGCCGCTCTGCTCTCTGATCCATATACGATCACCTTCTCTGTGGTGATCAATGCTAGCAGTGTTCGAATGTTACCAGACGAGTCAGAGGCAATGACAATATCGAATGGTGATTGAGATTGTTTGGCTTGCTTGAATTGATCGATGGCCATATCAATGCTTTGGCAAATCTTGTAGATATAGCCAAGAGTCTTCAAAACTGTCTTGATTGAGGTACATGCATGTTCGTTCGATTCGACCAACAACACCTACACATCATTATAAATATACCCTATGTTAGAGTCATGATCAATGTAACCAAACAACAACATAAATGTACTTACCATTTTACATTCCGATTTGAAGGGCTTGTACTCTGGATAAAAGAATTGATTGGCCGCTGGTACATCTGTTGGAAGGTATGTAGGAGAGCCAAGCAACAGTTTGAGTGAAAAGGAAAAGTTGGTTCCCTGTCCGAGCTGACTTTCAAAGTGAAGGGTGCCAGACATGAGATTGATGAGGTTCTTGCAATAGGACAAACTGAGACCAGTGCCTCCATGTCTCCTTGAGCTTGAACCATCGGCCTGACAGAATGGCGTGAAGATCTGCTTCATGTTGGCATCCGATATGCCAATGCCAGTGTCGATCACTGAGAATCGCAACGATATCTGATCACCACATTCGTACTCGGTCGATACTTCAATGAGAACATGTCCTCTCTCGGTGAACTTGACTGCATTGGACACCACCTTGACCAATACCTGAAGGATACGTCGACGGTCGCCAATGAGCACAGGTGGCACCGGATGGTCCCTGCTCATAACAAAGTATACATCAATGTCCTTCTTGTTGGCGGCCTCGCTGTGCAGATCAATAATCTCCTCGATCATTGGCACCAGTTGAAACTCTGCAAGCTCCAATGTCATATTGCCCGACTCGATCTTTGAAAAGTCCAACATGTCATTGATCAACGTGATGAGTGTATCGGTGGATCGTTTGATAGTCTCGGCGCAGTCACGTTGTGGGTCGTTCAACTTGGAATCCAGAAGCATTTGTGACATGCCCAATATTCCGTGGCATGGTGTTCGTAACTCGTGACTGATGTTGGCCAAGAACTGAGTCTTTAGATTGGTGGCCTGGATGGCAGACTCCTCAGCCTGTCTATAGCGACTAAGGTCAAAGACAAACGTGATGCATTGTTCTGAGCTACCATCAATCATGACCGCTGTTACGAGAATGGGAACTCTCTTGCCACTCTTGTGTGTGTATGCCTTCTCGATTGGTTGGCACCAACGCTTTGCCTTTAGCTCAAGCAGAGCCCTTGCAGATATCTCGCTAAACTCTGGTGGAGTCAACTTCATCCAGTTGACCTGTCCTTGCTCCAACTCTGATCTACTATATCCTATGATGGATAGTAATGCATCGTTTGCCTATTGTGTGTGTGATGAGAGTAAGTATGATGATAGAGACAAGACACGTCTCTCTCCTACACATACATCAACAATAGTTCCAGACAATGTAGAAAACATCACACCCAAGAGGCTCAGTCTAAATAGTACATTGTATCTCTCCCTGGCCATGAGGAATGTTGAATGTTCTTCGTTGGACAGCGATATCTTTCCAGTTTGCATAAAGTGCTCAAACGATGAACCTGAGCTGATGTCCTCATAGTCGAGCTTGAGCTTGTCTGGGGCTTCACACAGAGTCTTGACTCGCTGACAGAGGAACTCCAGATTGTATTGGGACTTGATTGCGATGTGTGGACCTTCATTCATAAGATAGCTGTAGGACATGCCAACCCAACCAACGTTGTTATCTGCCTCTTTGATTGCAAAGCCTCTAAAGACGTAGAGCATTGGGTAATGCTCCTCTGGTGTAAGGAACCAGTAGAGAAAGTGAATCTTGACGTCGTTGTTGGCAATCTCGTTTGTAAAGGTGTCCTTGAATTGATCGTTCAGTGAGCTTGGTACCCAGTTGACAAAGTCGTCGATTGTCTTGCCCTTGCACACGCCATCCGGTAATCGATCGGCCAGACACTTAACACTGTCCATCTTCTTGAAGCCAGATATTTCGCCAGCAGAGTTTGTGCGCCATATGATCACCGGTAGGTCTTTGCACACGTAGTCCAGCATGTCGTAGTAGGCGCGAACGAGGGGGGAGTGGAAGACCGCTGTAGGAGTGGGGATGCTGACGGGCTCAATCTCGGGGAGCTCCACCTTCTCCTCTATTTGTTGGAAGCAACAGGCGCAGCCATTTAAAAATGGTGAAACGACCATTGTTGCAGAGTACTGTCGGTTTGTGGTGAGATTGCTGACAAACACTGGCATCTCGACACGGTGTCCGTCGAGAAAGGCTGATTGAATGCACTCGATCAGTGAAGTTGTCTCCTCGCTAACGATGCCATTGTTTAGTTGGTAAGACTTTTTAAAGTCGATTGCAATGATTGGGTCGAACTTGTTGACAATGAAACCACCCTTGATCGACGGCCTACGATGAGGTCGGGCATGTGGAAGTGTTGAAGGTGTGGGCAGTTGAGAAAATTCACTCGACAATGTGTCTGGTGATCGAACACGTGACGACGACAATGTTGTGGGAAGGAATGTGGGTGAGGATGGAGGCGATGGCATTCCAATGATAGATTCTATAAGGTTATCTGAGGATGTACCAACGATCTTTAGTAGGTAGGCATTGGCGACACCTGTGTAGATGAGATCATCCTGGTCTCGAATGATATTCAATATTATAAGAGGAATGTCCAATACATCAATGAGCTTCTCGGGACATAACTTTTCAGTCATGATTGTATATTATATATATTATGTAATACTTGTTGTTGTTGTTTGTCTTTACTAGTATATAAATTGAATAGATAATTTAGTTATGATGACAATAGTTTGTTTTAGTTGTTAGTCGTTGTTGTTGGTATTTGGTTGGGAGCACTGTTGAAAAGGAAGTTGGAGCTCCCTACAAATATTTTCAAAAGATGATCTTTGTTGAATTGGTCATCGGATGGTTGGGTGCCAAAAAACTGTCGTTTTTTTTTTTGATTTTTTTTAATTATATTTCAAAATTAACGAACCAGTGTATTTTGTGGGATGAAAAAGTATTGATGTTCAATTTTCACTAGTGAAAAATTAAATTAAAAAATAAATAAATTTGGGTTGATCAATCACCACTCAACTCACATTATTATTATAACCATCATCCTCCCAACATCATTATCAAACACACTATATTTATATATATATCAATTTAGTAATACTTCTTCTGATCAAATCTATCTATTAACATGTCTGTAGAATACATAAACGAGAGTGAAATCAAAGCAGCCATTGGCGATCTCCGCAATGACAAGACACCAACTGATTGGGTGCTGCTGTCCTTTGAGACTCCAAAGTCAAAGAAGGTAAAGTTGCTGGCAAGTGGTTCGGGCGGTGTTGAGGCACTTCTCAATCAGCTGAGCGACGATCTGGTCGGCTTTGGTTTGGTGCGCAAGATCGACGTCATTGACAACTCAGAGACCGTCAAGTATGCCTTTATCCAATGGATCGGTGACAAGGTTGGACTCCTCCAAAAGGCATTCGTCTCCATCGCCACATCTTCCATCAAGACCCTCTTTACTCCATACCATGTGGACTTCCAAATCTCTCACAAGTCTGAGTTATCGTATGTATCTTTGTTTTATGTCTGGTTGCTATAGCTTGTTGTTGATTAACGTTAATCACTCCAATTCTCTACAAACAGTGATGCCATCGTCCATACTAAGATTCAAGAGACATCTGGATCAGGATCAAGAGTACTTGATGAGACTGGAGCACGTCGCACTGCCGCCTCCTCATCAACATCTGTGCGCACTGCAGGTGCTGCTCCAGCTGTCAGCAAGGACGCCATTGCCTTGGCCGACGAATCGAGCTCCCGTGCTGCCCTCAGATCATTCAGGTCGGACGACAGTGGAATCAACTGGATTCTCTTTGGATACGAGGGAAGCTCCATTGTACTTCTTGGTAGTGGTTCGGGTGGACCTTCAGAACTTATTGCCAATTTGAACGATGATATGGTCGCCTACGGTCTTACTAGATCAGTGGAGAAAATCGACAACTCCAACACTGTCAAGTTTGCAAAGATTACCTGGATTGGTGAAGGTGTAAGTAATTTGAGCAAGGGCAACGAGAGAGAGAGAGAGAGAGAGAGATAGACCAGTTTACTAATGTCGTCAACTCTATTTCATTAAATAATAGATCAACAGAATGTTGAGAGCTAGACTTGGAACTCACAGTGGATTCATTAAGGAGTTGCTCTCCCCATACCACGTTGATATTCAAGCGACCACCAGATCAGAGATCAGTGAGGAGATTATCATCGACACTATCACCAAGAACTCGGGCACTCAATCACGTGTGTTGGCAGATGCCGTCTCACCAAGAGCAACAGCTGTTCCCACACGTAGCACAGGTGGTGTCTACAAGGGAACCTCACCATCTTCGGTCCCAACCTCTTCTGGTGCACCAGTCATTGCCGAGGAAGACGTTCGCGCTGCTATCAAGGATGTCCGTAGCGACTCCACCCCAACCAACTGGACCCTCATTGGATACAAGCCCAACAACACCACCCTTACTGTCATTGCCTCTGGAAATGGCGACGCTGACGAACTTGCCTCGCACCTCCAATCCAACATTGTAGCCTACGGTTTGATTCGTGTGCGTACCCAGTTTGACCTCTCAGAGATCACCCAGTTTGTTTGGGTCAACTTTGTTGGTGAGGATATCCCAAGAATGTTCAGGGCCAAGCTCGGAACTCACTCTGGAATCGTCAAGGACGTCTTCTCGCCATATCACGTTGATATCCAGGCCAACACACCCTCAGAGGTCAATGCCGAGATTGTTCTCACCCGTGTCACATCGAATGCTGGCACTCTCAGCAAGGTCCGTTAAGGTGTGTGTCCAGGTTGATTTGTCACACAATCATCTTGTTAGTACTACAATCATAACAACACATACATGCTCTCCAATCACATCAACAATAAAATCATAAATGTAACTCTAGGTAAATGACATGATAGATAGGAGGGACAATCCAACTCATGAAGTGTGCAATGACGTTGGGTCTGCCTCAGTTAACTATTATGGAAACAAAACAATATTTAATTTACAGAGGGCTTATCCATTCACCTGATGCTTTGAAGCTACAGATGATGCAGTAGAAGTTGGAGCATCGACCAGTTGTGACGCCAAATCTATTCCAATCTCGTCGAGTACCTGGTTGAGGATCTCTTGTGATTGTTCCTCTTCACCGTCCTGTTGCATGACATCGTCCATAGTGTCGTTCATCATTTCCTCCTTCATGTCCATTTTATCTGACTGTTGTTCAAACTCCATCATAATCTTTGTGAATTGAGGTATGTTCATCTGTCTGTTCATTACCATCATTGCCTTTGTCACTCCCTTCATTGCCTCTGCCATTGACTGAGTAGATTGTAGTGTCTAGTATAGTATAGTGAGTAAATCATGAAGATGTGAGTGAAAGAGAGAGAGAGAGAGAGAGAGAGAGAGTTGTTACAAGAACGATACCATACCTGTATTCTAAGACTAACTGCCTGGAGTTGTGTCTTCATCTCGTAGAACTTTTGAATGTGGAATCTCGTCCTCACCAAGTCCTTTGCCATGATCTTGGCAGAGTTCATCTGTCCTTGTTTAGCCATCTTTTTGATGTCAATGATGATCTTCTTCTCTTGATTCTGCAGGCCGACTCTTTCACGATCCAGTTCTCTCATTGACTTATTCAATGCTCTCTGGTTCTCTCTAAGAACCTCTGTGGAAGTGTGAGGAGGAGGAAAGAGTTAGATACTTTAAGATCAATGTGAAGCGCAACTTCAACCACGATCTTTCACAATGTCAACCTTTTGGTGTCTTTTGCTTGCCAAATAGAAACATGGTTGTGTAATGGTATATAAAGTTATCAATAATAATAATATATATATAAAAGTTATGATATATATAAAAAGGTAAATTGAACATTGATTGACAAGAGGTATTGTTGTTTGTGGAGGTTGGTTGTGTGGAATTGAAACTTTTTAATTTTTAAATTAAATTAAATTATTCTTTGTCCCAAAGAATGAAGACGAGTTGAGTGTCAGGAAGTAGTTCATACATAGTAGTCGTAGGTAGTAGTAACAACAAACAACAACAATAACAACAATGAATAGGTGTCTTGGACTGTTCGGTTCTCCAGGGTCATTGTCTGTATTAGTTAGATGCAGTTTGTTGAATCAGCCCAGTAAATTCAACTGGAGGGTCACCAACTCTCCCATCGTTACTATTCAGCATTCGTACACTACAAAGACAAGTCATATCAATGACCAAGACAACTATTATGATGATTCAGCCAGGTTGAGAATGAGACTTCAACAAAAGGTTTCGAGTGCCGTCAATTCTGCAAACAAGAATACAAAGAAGACAAAGGTGTGGCTGAAGGAGGAGGAAAGAAAGATCGAGCGTCAACAGAATGTTGTTGTTGCCAACAACAATAACAACAACACTATGGATCACTATGAAAAGAGTAGTAGTCGTAATAGCAAATACACAGATACAACCAACATCAACAACCAAAGCCACAACAACAAAAGAAGCATAATGTTCAACAGAAACAATGATAATAACTTTGACAGTAGGACCGTCAATAAGCGAAGCCTCAATGACAACAGAGATAGAGTCAGTAGTAGCACAGGATTTCATAGTAGGGGCAACAAGACGGCCCGCGGCAGCTACAATGATGACACTGATATCAAAAGGAACAAGGACGTTAGCAGCAAATACAGTGGCACTAACTATGACAGAAACCGACCACAAAGCTTGGGCGATAAACCATATAGCCGGGGAGGAGGAGGTAAGTAGATGTCAACATGTCCCACCAATGAGTAATATCTAACATCAGGTCAATGGCGTCAGATGGTGACAAGTATATAAGAGATAATAGATACGTTGAGAAGAAAGGAGTTAGCCGTGGAGGCGACAACTATCGCCATCGAGAGGAAGTCTCTTTTGGTCAAACTCAGAATGATAGATACCCCACAGACCAGTCACAACAACAACAACAACAACAACTACCACCACAAGAGCAACTAGTCAATATCATCGGAATGGCATCAGTATTGAGTGCATTCAAAAACAGAAACAAAGAGGACTTGGTCAGGTTGTTTATCGAACGGAGTGTGCACGAGAGGTACAAGACGTTGCTGTTCCCACTGGTCAAACACTTTGCATCAAACAACATGGTATATCGAATTTTCAACAACAACGATGGACAGATGAACGCAATCACCAGGACCAATAGCCACGAAGGTATCTGCATGGTAGTACGCCAAGCAGCTACACTCACCCCAGAGGAGGCATTTGAGAAGGAGATGGAGCGCATCAGATTCAAAGCCATTGTGCCATTGTCCAAGTCGCCCTTGCTCAACCAAGCCAAAGAACTCATCACCCAACGAGTCAACCACGATGGTACCCGTCCAGTCGTTGTACTTTTGGACAATGTTGGCAATCCATATAACATTGGAACAATCGTGCGAGCATGCACATCCTTTGGTATCAGGACTCTGTTTGCCTACAACGACCCAGACAAGAATGAGAGTGGGCGAGTCAACCCTTTCTCATCGAGGGTCTACCAACTGAGCCGTGGTGGAATGGACCACATTGACCTGGTCCATATGGAGGCGCGCAATGAGGTGATCAACATGATCAAGGAGTTCAAGAAGGAGGGATGGAGGGTGGTTTCGACCGCTGGCAACAAGGACATCAGCAATGTGGCGCCTCTCTACAGTGACGATGCTACAAAGACTCTTGGCAACATTAACAGTCCACTGGTGCTTGTGTTTGGATCTGAGTCAGAGGGTATCTCTAAGGGCATCATCAAATTGTCTGACAAGTGTTTGATGATACCAAGCACTGGACACATCGAATGTCTCAACGTTTCTCAGGCACTGTCCATAGTGTTGGCTGAGTGCCATAGATTGGAGCTCAAGCACGTTAAATCATCTCTAGAGGCTGGTGTCACAGGAGTAAAGAAGCAACAACCAAGACCAAAAGACAGTTTGAAGGAGATAACACCTGAGCTCTTGGGGATAACCAGTGATCAGATATATCGTGATGACATGAATACCAACCGAGATAGCTACGACGACGAAGTGCTGGAGGAGGGCCTTGAAGAGGACCTAAGAGACTATGATGAGATGATCCAAAAGGTTCCTCGTAGTTTCTCATCACAATGGTGAGGAGCGACTCTACAATAAATGACGTGCTCAGCAACTTGTGGACATCATTGTGAATCGATTGTCAAGGTAGAGTACACTGTAGGTTGTTGATCGTTCACATCAATTGGTAGATGTTTGGCTTCGATCTTGAGGTCGTCAATAACTACTGGTGGTGATGGGCGAAACCAAACTGACAAGTTTTTCAATCAAAAAACAAGAAGAAGAAGTTTCAAATCATTTTTCATTCCATCTTGACAACAGTCTATCTGATAGATAGATAGATAGATAGTCACAGTGAAGGAAGAGAGATAACTCGAGTAATAAGTAGTGTAGAGATGGAGTTGTTCAATCCTGAGGCACTCCAACATACACGGCAACATCAACAACAACAACAACAACTACAACAACAACAACAGATCATTGATGATGACTTTAACATCAGCGAACAAAAGGAGTTCATCTCCACATTATCAAAGATCATCACAACAACTACAAACAATCAACCAGATAGTGACATCGTGATAAACACGAATAACAACGAGGACAACATCAACAACAACGATAACAATGACGATCGCAATCACACAAGTAGCAGTAGTAGTAGCAGAGCAAAGGTGAAAGGAAAGAAGGAGAGGAAAAAGAAACGAATGTCAAGTCCTCCGTTATCAACAACAACAACAACAACAACAACGACAACGACAACATCTACGGCCTCATTGGACTCAAACAAAGCTACACGACATGCCAACACAATGATGGCCTCCACCTACCCAGTTACCTCGAGTACCAAGGAGCAACAACAACAACAACAACAACAACAACATCACAATCACCCTCATTTGCATCAAATCAATGAGCACATCAGTCATATTGTTGATACAATACACGATACTGGTGATATGGTCGTCAACGAGCTAAAGAAAAAGATATTCTCAGCCAAGAAGAGACGCGAAAAAGAGGAACAGGATCCACTCAAAGAATCATTCTCGATAGATATAGGAATGATGTGGCTCCTCAAGAGTATCAGTAGGACAACTATACAGGAACATGTTTGTGAGCGCATTGGTAGACTGCCGCACACTGACTTCCAACTTTTCCTGCCCCAAATAGTGTAGGTAGAAATAGTGGTTTTTTCATTATTCAATTGATGTTTACCATAGTTTGAACCTTACTGACACACCTCCTGCACACCAGTCATATATGTGTAGTATACAAGCAGGAGCCAATCATAGTGATGCTTCTAGAGAAATGTAGACAGTCTTTAATCATTGCTGTGCAGACTTTCTTTCTACTGAACTCAATAACGTGCGATAGACATCCTGGCACCTTTGATAATGCAAGGGAGGTTTGGAAACGTATGTTTGAAATCAAAAGATAACAAAGTCCTTGACCAATACTAATGCCTTTAAAAACAAAAGGTTGTGAGATGGCGTCGATTGGTTACTTTGACCTGTCCAAGCTTGACAGAGCACCTTGTAGGAGGAAGCAGGCTGAGGATATGGCCGTGTCTGACAAGTCCTATTTGTTCATTGATGAGGAGTATTTCGAATCAAAGAAACCTATCAATGAGAGTGACACAATTATCATTATCCCCATTACTGATGCCGACCGTGTTGCTTATGGAGACATCATTACTTCATCATCATCCAAGCAAGGTACATCAATATCTGACCCGTCCCAAACACTTCCCATGCAATCGAATGCTGATCCTTTTGGATCAGATGCCAATCAAGACAATTCAAATATTGAGCAGCAGCAGCAGCAACAACAACAACAACAAGAGATTCAAACATCACGCTCCAAACATTTGAGCGACAGTCTTGGRACAACGCAACGTCTCCAAACAATTGGCATCATCATCACCAAACCCATATACATTTTGCTTTGACATTTTGGATGGCTCCACTCTGGCAAAGAAACTGTTCAACTATTATCCATTCTACTCAGAGATACACTTTATCAACATACTTTCAAAGATTGGAACATTCTTGCTTTCAGTTCCTGGAGTCAATGGCCCTGGCAAGCAACGTGAGATCAGGAATGCCACCTTACGCATCATGCTCAAGCACCTTAACGATCAACTCTTTGCAAAGTCTATGATTATCCTACCAGTCTACCCATCTTTCCATGTCCTTGGCATTGTACACGAAGAGGCGATTTGTCTCAACTCTCGTGATCGTGTTCCATTCATGCTCTACCTCGAGGTGAAGGTCATGGATGGTACATACTTTTTCACAGATACCACCGAGGACATTAGCAAAGTAATCAACACGCCCGACACAGACGACGAGTTGGAGGTCAAGGTAATTGCCAAACATGACACAAGCGATTTGCAGGCAAACAGCAAATTGTTGAATACGATATTTGGAGAGAACTGGAAGACAAAGGAGAACAAGATATGGAGGACCTCTCCCTATCGTTCAATCTCTGGATGGAGATTGATATCATTTATCGTCAAGAGTGGTGATGATCTAAGGCAAGAGCAGTTGGCTATGCAGTTGATCACTCAGTTCTATCGCATTTTTAAAAAGACCAATCTGCCCCTATGGTTGAGAGTATGTATAAACTATGATAATGGTGATGATGATTAGAAACAACATATTCAATATTATGCCTACCTTTTAGCCATACCTTGTGGTGGCAACTGGACAAGACTCAGGCTTGATAGAGACGATACCAGACTCAACTTCACTGGACACCCTCAAAAAGAAGTGTCCCAACTACACAACATTGTTGAATTATTTCATTGATGCCTACGGTGACAATCGATCAAAGGAGTTTATCCTGGCACAGAGCAACTTTATCGAGAGCGTCGCAGGCTATGCATTAGTGTGCTACTTCCTTCAAATCAAGGACAGGTATGTTATTTTCGTTGTCCAGCTCGTACCCGACATTTCCCTGACCACTCCATCTTATGGTTGACTTTATAGACATAATGGAAACATATTGATCGACCGAAAAGGACATATTATCCATATAGATTATGGATTCCTCTTGTCGACAAGTCCTGGTGCAATCAATTTCGAGAAGGCCCCCTTCAAACTGACAGAGGAGATTGTGGAGCTTATGGGTGGAGAGAAGTCTGACAGATTCAAGTACTTTACAGTACTGCTACTGAGTGGCTTCCTTCAAGTTAGGAATCATTACCAAGAGTTTATGATGATGATCGAACTCATGATACCACGTATGTAACCAATCAAACATTTATATATTTAATAACAACTTCAGATTCTAACAACCTTTAATCTAGACACAAACTTGAAGTGTCTCAAGAGGGAAGGAGTGCTGGATAGCTTCAGAGCTCGGTTCCGTCTTGACCTAAGAACAGAGGAGCAATGCAGCGAGTTCATCAATCAGATGGTCAATGACAGTAAGGGTCATTGGACTACCTCATGTTATGACTCGTATCAATACTATACAAATAATATAACAGCGTAAACAGATTTTATATTATCACCAAACCAATAGGTGAGTTCTAGGACTAAACTAGTTGGATCGCCATTTAAGAGTGAAGACGATTGAGCGCGAGAATCTCCACATGGAAATACTTACATTGGGGTCCTTCTGAATCATCGAAGTTGTTTGGTTGGCATGTTGGATGGCGAAGATGTGGTTGTTTTGCTTCTTGGTCTTTGTAGCAGCAGCTGTTGTTGTTGTCGATGATGGCGATGATGCCTGTCTTTTTGTTGCTGACTGGTGCTGCTTCAGATCACTCACACACTCCCTATCAATCAATCAAACGCTGCTCTTTGAACTACTGGTGGAAGTTGTAACTGGAGTTTTGGACTTGAACCGACACTTCTTGTTATTCGCCTCCTGCGTCCTCGTTGTGGAGCCTTCGTTGGCCGGTATGTATCCACTCTTGCTGGTATCATAAATGAGCCAATGATCACGCAAATTCTGATGAGATCATCATCAGCAGCGGCAAACAACTGACATTGTGGAGAGTACCTTCAAAGATTAACAAGAGAGAGCGATAAACTTGGCAACAAGTTCAACTATCCATTTTATTAAAGGTATTGAGAGCCTCAACTAAGAGGCAAAGCACTTCCATGGATTGAGAATAGTGTCCCAAGTTGTTAGGTTGTGTAAGATAACTTCGTAGATATTCAGGTTGATAAAGTACTCGTTCAATGGGAGCTTACTGTAGCTGGGTGATGTCAACACAAGAAGGTATCCAGAGGCATGATCGAGTGTGAATGTGCACATGTTTCCTTGGAAGGTATAGACATTGTCAACATGGAAGATCACTCTGACTGTGTTGGTGTACAGGTCGACCAAGCCAAAGGAGATTGGACCAAAGTAGTTTGATGGATCGATTGAATGAACGCCAACAAAGAGATTGCCTCCATAGAAATAGACTTCCTTCTCAGAGGGAAAGGCAAAGTCAAACTGGAGTGAATGTAAAGTGAAACATTACATTACAATTACTTGCTCACAATGTTGTACTTGGCAATGGTGATCCCAGGATCTTCAGTAGAAGAGCCAAAGATGATGTAGTAGGTCTGAGTGGACTGGTCATACGCACCAGAGTTGACCCCACCTAATTGGCGATTGTCAAAGTTGATGTAGCGTCTGTAATGAACAAACGCTTGGTAATTCGAACTTGAATGTTGATTTCGGCTGAAGATATAATTACTATACCTGCCTGCCAAAGTCCTCGATGAAAAGAGTGGAGGTGCCAAACGGGGATACAGGCATATACACAACATCATTGGCCGAATCATACCCAGTAATGAATCCATTTGGATTGTAATAGATGGTCGTACGAATGCCCAAAGATTGGAGAGATAGGGCACCAGTCTAGATTATGTGGAGAGTTCAGTCTCTGGGCATTTGATACAGATTTAGCCTCACTTACATTTAGATTGAACCAATTGAGGTAGGTCTGATAGTAGTTGAAGCTGGAGTTGCTTATTGAGCCGCCTCCAAAGATGAGGTAGTCATTACCTTGTTTGGCGAGAATGGAAAGCACATCGTCGAAAGGAAAAGTCTGTTTAACCAAGATGTCGCCACTGTTCAGGTCCATCTTGAAGAATGTATTGCATGGTTGGAGTGGATCAAAGAAATTGATTGTGGTCGGTTGTGGCTGGTCGCAGGTGTCAGAGTGAACTAGAGCTTAAACTCATGAATAAGTACTTACTGTACAAATACTCAACAACAAGAACATGCTAACTCCAATGAGCAGTTGAGTATGTAAATTATAAATAGACATCTTGGAGATAAGAAGTGTATTCAATGAGACGATTTTCATTCGTGTTGTCGGACCGTTGGCACGTAAAGCAAAGAAGTATGTTTGTGTGCTGCTGTCCAGCGCGCCAGAAGGAGATGCACCAATTTGATAGTTGAGGTTGAAGAGGGTACTGACGATGTCGTTGATGATGGAGCGAGTCAGATGATGATACAAGGAAGGTGTGTTAATGATGATAACACGCTGTACATGGTCGTGATCGTAGCAGTGGT